TTCAGCGCAGACTAGTCAAAGCATTTTGAAATGAAAAAATTAACTGACTTTACCTTGGAAACCAACATTAAATGGAATAATTTGTAGGTGTTGACGTCTAACTCAGAAGTAACCTGTCATCTGACTCAGCAATCCATTTCTATTGCCTAAAGCTAGCATCAACAAAATATTCTGTCTCAACTGAATACAAAGGAAGCTAACATGTCACTTTTCATCTGCGTCTTAATTAAAGATTAAAAACAAATTTCCTTCTCGGAAATGATCGTTAAAGCCTTATTTTAAGGAGACTAGTAATTTTGGCGCAGTAATGGCCATACTTAACGAAAAGGCTTGATGAAAAATTATACTTATTCGTTGTTAAAAGCAAAAAATAAAACGCCTTTCACAATGGTACTTACAAACATAATTTCCCGCGATATTATATCATTACTGTAGAAACAATATGGGGCCAGCAAATTGCTTATCCTTTACTATTGAAATCTTGTTCAATTTTCGCCCTTTCTAATTCCACTGTCGACAGAAGATCCTCAATAATTTTATCCAATTCAAGATCTTGCTCCTCGTAATTGCTATGAATATCTACCTCTGAATTGTCTCGACACGGCTCAAAATGCCCATCATCGTTCGTTGAATTATCTTCATTCGAGCAATCTTTCGCGACGTTTAAAGATGACTTTTCAGTGTTGGTATTGGTGGAGGTGTTGCGGTCGTAATTATCAAAACTTGTTCTCCTCTCGAAGTGCTTCTGCTCCAAGGACTTGCGCCTATCTCGGCGCAACTTTTGAAAATGTCCTTCGCGAAAAGCGGCATAGAAAGCCAATCCAATGGCTTTTGCTCTCTCTCCGCTATCACAGGCCAACGCATGGCATTCGACCACTGAGGGACCTTGGTGGTGATTAAATGCAAAGATAGTGGCGTCAATTCTGTTCAAAGTACAATAGGAAATATTCTCCAGCGATATAAACTTTGATTCCTTCATTGTGGACTTGCTTTTCACCTCCGTGAATTTTACGCCGTCGGTTCCGACTTCTAAATACATTTTCGGACAGTTCTTTTCATCGTCTTTCACTTGTTCTAGTATTTTGCGAACTGCTTTTTCTATCCCAGCGACGCCAGGTTCTTCTGTTTTTCCACAGCCAAGATATTTCACTTGAAAGCGGGTGGATGGTGTTAAATCCGCTTTCCCTGATTTTCCTTTGATCATGGTTACGTCCAACGGCTAAAAATCTCTCAAAAATTCGATACCATAGCGTTCCCCTGAAATGCACCAGAAGGTTACAGATGGGTTCCTTTAAACCTCAGCTCTTCAATTCAATATTTTTGTTTTGTTTTATGAACTTGCTAGCTCCTTATAGATCCTTGTACTACTCACTGTCCTATTGGACTATTTATTGTATTCACGTAAATTCCACCTGTTTCAATTTTCTACTCAAAAGCTCATTGAAATGCAAATTTTGTGTCTTGACGTGCCAGTCATTTACCCTCTGTGAGCCTGGGGTGGCCTTTTTTTTATTTAGTTGACGTAAATATAAATAAAATTCTCTTCACCGACCTGAAATTCGTTTATGTGAATTTTGATAAAATTTTGTTCATTTTCTGGCGATAATTTGCCGTCTTTCGTCACGTATCTCACATTAGAAACTATTTTTGTATTGTTCATGGTTAATTAACGGGCGAGAACCACACAATATTCCGAAATAAAAATTTGCCTCAGCTAACAAAAGAAAACTGTTAATTTCAATTCTTTTGTTGTGATGTTATTTTGAACGCAGTCGTCCTCGGCGAGGAATTGTGTTTAATGATTTTAATGGGACCTCGATCTCGGAGGTTACGCAATCATCTTGGCGAAAGAAATACCAACGCACAGGCCTGATTTTTTTCAGGTCTGATTTTCGCTATTGCATAAATAGCGCTCCCTACTGCGAGGATCGTGCATCATACGTATCTATAACCGCAGTTCAAATTATATGAACTTCATATATTCATCGTATTTGATTTTCTGGCGAAACAAAATTTTCTTGTGGCATCCCTGGTAAGCCACGTTATGCAATCGAAAATTCAGTGCCTTGAAGTTAAAAAGGTTTTTTTTTCTTTTAAAAAACGCTTTCAATATTTCAGCCTTTTAACAGCATTTCTTATTATAGTTCCATCATCAAGTTCACTTTACGTAACTGCGTTTTTTGCACTATTTGAAATATGGATCAGACTTTTATATATATACCTAGAAATTTATATTTTGTGAGTTTACTTCGAGGTCGCAAACGAAATAGATAGTTCGCGAGGACACGAAAAAATATTCGCTTCACTGCGTAAAATTACGTAAAATATCAAACATTGTAGGCTTTGAAGCCTCACACTTTGACGATGTGTTTAATTCTGGATTTTTCTCTCTAGCTCTGTTAATTTTGTTTATTTCCCCATTCCTCCGTGGTTTTGGTTTTTGAAGAAATCCTAACCGCCTGAATTTGTACGGCGGTTTGAGCCATGACTACAACATTTGCTGGTCAGCAGCTTTAAAGATACTGCATTCGAATTCCGAGGCTAAATTTAACGTTCTGTCAGTAGGTAGTGTAAGCCATAAGCAACAAAAGGTGACGCATGAACGATGAAACTTTATGCTGTGACTCAGTAATCAATCACAAAAACAATACTCATACTGCAAGGAAATTTACATTTAGGGACCATTTTCGTAAAGGCCTCAGAGAAAAGGTGTTTTGTTAAAAACACCCCAGCAGATCTCCCACGCGGAAGGGAGGTCTAATTTGAGTGAGAATTCCGCTGGCTGGCAAGTTTACCTCCTCCCAAATTTCGTGATGATAAGTTTGGCGAATGAAAGTTGTTCTGTTCGCACATTCTACCTGGAACTCTGCTGCGAGTAATAAATTTCGCATTGTAACCTCCTAAATGGAGCATCTCAAGATCTGAAAAGTCAGCGGCAAAGAAGTAAATATATAAGCGGAATCGGGCTAAGATCTAATACCCGCGGAAGGTATCTGCTTTTCGGGAAGAGAGCTCGCGATCCTCCCACCCGCCAACTGTCCCCTGCCCCTAGAGGAACAAAAACCAGACTATACAATATGGCGGAAATCAAGTTTATTTTAGCTAAGCCTGACGCACGTGGATTACATGTCATCCAATGAAATTGCTGTATTTCTATGGTTATTTGCGGCGCGGGGCGCAACTGATCCATTCAAGGTTCTTCTAAAAATAGCTCTATGCGTGGATCAATATCGCTCAAACGTGCATAAATGTAGCAGGAAGTTGGCAGCAATGAAGTGTGCTGTGGGTTTTCACAATACAAAACAAACCGACACACTACCAGCTAAAACCGTAATTTTGTCATCCATGACGGGTTCAGCTGCTGTATTTCTTAACTTAACCTCTGTTATTAAAGGCAGTTTTATAAATAAAGAGTAAGAAATTACGAAAGTTAAAAGAGGGAAATGTTTTCAACAATTTGAATGCATTCGATTTTAACTGAAAGGGCCGGAAATAACTAGGATGTTTGTTTTACTTAATGATGAGAAATTGACGCATTCTACCGAAAACATTTAAGCTAAATTTAATTACACTGTTTGCAAGTCATTTGCACATATTATTTCGTCCGTCGTGATTGAATTAGACATTTCTACAATAATGAGTTGCCTGAAAGCATGTTTTACTTCAAATAACATTGACATAAGCTGGCGCCAAATTATCACTCAGAAATTGTCTTCCGCCAGAATGTAAATTAAACGACTAAACCTTCAACTTATACACGAAAGACTTTATGTTTTACTTCTGTTTAAAAAAGTTTTAAAAAATTTGTTTTCCGTCGCTTAATTTTATAACGATTACCGAAGGTGTTTAACATGTTTAATATTTAAACATCAAAGTAGTTTAAAAATAGATAAAGTATCAACTGAATAAATTTTGTAAAAGACTAGCTTTGTAGTCACTGTTAGTTCATGTTCGATTTACCGTCCTTGAGTCCATGCATCGCATCTGCTTGTAAACATTCTCTCATTTTTTCTCTTCCCTTGCGAAGAGATTCGAAGTGGTCCGTTCTAAATGACGCATAAAGCGCCTCGTTGATTTCTCGTGCCTTCAGCGCATTTTCACACACAACTGCATGGCATTCGACATGGTTCTTCGAAACATGATGGTTGAAAGCAAAGATGTTGTTGTCTTTTTCATTGATAAAGCCATAGGAATTATTCCTTAGAGGAATAAATGTCAATAGAATATCTTGCTCTCGTTTTCGCCACACGAAACTAACTCCTTTTCCACTCATTTTGATGAAGTTCGTTTGAGTTGTAGTTCTGTTATCTTTTTGGCCTCCAGTTCTCTTAATTTCTTCCACAGCAGCTTGGATTCCTGCAACTCCTTCTCGTGAATTTAGACAGAATCCCAAATAACTGACACGAAATGAAGACTCTTGGAGAATAGTGCACGAATCACTTCGAAGTCCTAAGCCCCCAATTTTCTCTTTTAATGTTTCCATTTAAAAGCTGATTTTCTAAGCTCGGTCACAGAGGCCACAGCGAACGAAGAAAATGCCAGAGTGAATTAAAGAGGGGGAGCAGTTTTTAAAATTTCCTCCTACTGCTATGAAATTTAAGACGAACGTAGTTTTTGATGTTCTGCCAAAACAAATAATGAGAAATTATAATTATTAGAATTGCAAATTTGCGGGAATTTTTACACACGAATTTATGTCGGTACAGAAATGTGGTAAATGACATAAACATCTTGTTTATGGATTTAAATAGATCGGCTACAGGTTTTGACATATTTTTAAAATTAACTTCGTCTTTTGCATTTGAAAAGCAGTTCTTTTGTCATGCACAATCAATTTTAACATAAAGAACTCGTGTCCGGTTTTCATTACCTTTAGATAAAGAAATTAGATAGATTAGCCCACTTGCAGAGTGGAAGATAAGAAAGAGATCTTACGAAACATTGATTTGATACTTTTTGGTAAACCAAATCTATGGAAAAAACTGCGCGTTCCTATTTTTTGCTTTCGATCATTTTCAGCCATTCAGACCATCAAGAAAATGATGCTATCTCTTTATATCATTCAAAGCAGGTACAGAGCTACTCGATCAAGGAAACCCGTGAGACAATCAAGGGGAAAATTAGCTGGAATCACTAGGGTACACTGTCGTGAAACCAAATAATGCTCCTTGTCGAGATTGACATGGCAACGCAACCCCCTTTTTTGCCCGTCTTAATGTGAAATCTTATTGGACAGTTGCTCTCGCATTGTTCTTTATTTCTGATGAATAATTACGTTTTAAAAACTGTCAACAGCTGTTTTATTGACATTCCATAATAACGAATTCGATTTAAGATTGTAATTTTGACACTACGAAGTAGCCCTCCATCAACCGGGGAATTATTTCGCAGTTTGCCATGACGGATGAAGTGGAAAGAGCTCACGTTTTAACAGTTTTCTTATGGGTGTTATGAAATCAAAACAACAAAATTCTGAGACTAAATCGAACGAGGAGAAAACAAAACGTAACATGGTTAAAAGATTAAGTCTGAAAAGTTTTAGAAAAGAATACGAGCTGAAACCTTTCAGGAGTTTTATCGTTCGGTTCGCAGGGAAAGTAGAGAGAAAAAACCCAGGCGGCGAAAACATCGACGAATGTCTGAAGAAATTGTACAGGAAAGTGCAAGATAATATTAATGGATTACCACGAGTTTGTATGGAAATTAGCTCTGCAGATGTTAAGATTCGATGGATTCAAGGTGAAAGCGAAGATCAAGAAGAAATAGAAGTGCCATTTACTCGAGTGTCTTTCATTGTGGCCGATAAAAAACACCAACTTTTCGCTTTCAATGACTTCGTTTCCCAGAAACCGAAAAAAGTTGAGTGTTATGCTTTCATTTGCACTGAGTCGGAGAAGTCTGATGTAGTAGCGAACGCTTTCTCAGAAGCGTTCAAAGAAGTCCATGAAAGGCCAAGGAGAGGGTCAGGCCACGACGCAAATTCAAAAGCTTGAGAGGAAGTATTAGGACTTGCAGTTGACAAAAGAGATTAGGACTTAGTCTAGTTTGCAAGAAGCGCTGTTAAGAGAGCATGTTTTGGTTCGCTTGTGAAAGCGTGAATTTGCACAAGGAAACAAAACAATTCCGTACACAAACTGGTAATTAATTGCACTCAAGCCATGATCACTCAGTTGATCTTAAAAAGAAGCAAGAAAAGGCATAAACATTTTTTCTGTGAATATTTAATAGAAAAACCTTGGTAGCCTGTGTTTTGTTGAGTTTGAGTTTTTTTTCTGAAAGGTTAGAATTGCATAAACAGCTCTTGGACACACAAGACATAGTAATTTATTCAAAAAGTTTAAACGAAAAACACGACCATCACACGGGACTATGAGTGGCTTTAAGGAAGAGATAAACTTCCTTAACGCGCTGGGTAGACTACTTCAGAAAACATTTTATCATTAAATGAGCGTCCTCAGAGAAAGGAAATCGCTGTAGACTAACAATGAGTACATTAGAAGTGAACGAAATATTGTACGTAAGTAATTTGCACAAGACTTGTTGATTGACAAAGATCCTTGACATTTTCACCTTCTTCGGTCATCAAGATATTTTGATAGAGACAAAGTGGACTGTATTTAGTAAAAGATTTGCGAATATGTTCAACTGATACCGAGAAGACTCTCAAAATTTTTCTGTTGTAGCCACGCATGTCCGAGAAAAGAAAGACAAAGAGGGTCTTGAGGAAGTAGTTGTTTGTGACTTCCTTAAAATCTGGAGCTGAAATAAGGATTCTTTGAGTTTTCGCTCTCATATCATTAAACAGTGATTCTGTTTTAACCGTTTCTTTTATTTTAACGAAGCTGGGCATTGGGTATATATAGCACAACAGTACGTAGTTACTTCTTCAAATTCAGTGAATTGAATTGGAGACGTAACAAATGCAAACGCGGGGAGGCACAGGAAAACGCGAGTAAATTAGTCAATATTAGTTTTACATCTGATCGCTCAAGTTGCATAGCGTAAGTTTTCTGGAACAAAACGGAGAACAACTAACACATTCTCGCTTTACTTTTGAGACTCCTTTGAAAATTACCCCTACGTTGGAGACGTTGCCCTTGGCTTCTGTAGCTCTTTTGTTTCGATTGATGTGGTGGGGTTTCAGCGGAGGCCGCTACAACACGGGCATCCCGCAGAAGTAAGCGGGTCACCCGGGGGCAGCCTGTTACCCCGGAAAAAATTGATAGTGACACTAGCCACAGGATCTGGCGTCACCCAGATCGTTATTTTCCTTACTCATTAGTTTAAGGCGAATTAATAAAGAAAACATCAAATGTATTGTAGTTCTGCATAACTACCATCCTTGTGGGTGTGTACGTGAAGCTTTATCATAATTTTTTTTGGTTTTTAACAATAACTGATGTTTGAGTATCTTATATATGCGATAATTGTCCCGAATGACCTAATTCAATCGTAGTTAAGGAAAGGAACTTGCAAAAACATAACATACGCTACGGTAGTTAACAGGCCAAAGCGCTAACACTTTTAACGCATGCGCTCCAGGTACTCTAGCCGAGGGAAATACAAAAGAAGATTTTGACACCTTTTTGTCGGTTTTGAAAGTATAAGAAGATTAAGCCAATATTATTCACCACACAAAACATACAAACAAACCCACACGATATTAGGAAAAGGGATCTGATCCAATTTTAGCTTCAGTCCGTATAGTACCGCGGCAGGGGTCACTGATATTCCAAAATAAGATCAGTTCCAGACAGTGGAAAGGATGCGTCTAAATGAGCGGACCAGAGTTGCCTTTCTTTTCGGTTAATTTCTGTTAATTCTTTTTGTGTGTGTCTGTGTGCGTGTACGTGCAAGTAAGAGAGAAGTTTACTAAACAAGAGCATTCAAGAAAATAAAATAGTCTTTTGTTTTAATTCCAACACATTATCTATATATCTCTAAGGCGGCATTCGTTTCAGAACTGAAAATCGACTTCAGAAGGGAAAAGTGAACTACAGAAAATTTGAAAAACAGTGACGTAAACTCGAATGACCAAAACCAGGGTAATTTTTGGTTGCGTTAGTCTTATTTGGAGTGCACTTCTTTGTTATGCCATAACATTTTGTTGCTTCGAGTCCGACAATGACAACGATGGTGATTTCGCCGGATGGTTCTTAAGCAGTCACACTCAGTACCTATGTGCTTGAGAAACGAAATCAGCCAACCACAGCATGCCTTGCTTAATGAACACAACACCTGAGAGAAAGCACTAGATAAAGAGTGGAAACTTATTCAGTTGGTTAAACACGACGGTGCTTGGTAACATGAGCTGGTTTCAACCAATCAAATTTCAATTAAAAACTTCTCAAATGAGACAAGATCGTTCGTCAATACGATGTTGGTTTGTCTAACATGGCATCTTATAAGAAGGTTCAAGAAATTTCTCTCAGTTCTCGCCGATTTGTCCATGGAGATGTTCCAATGTTCCGGTCATTTGCACATGCCCAACATTGCCGTATTCTTCGTTGTCCGTTCCAAAAAAATACTTTTGTAAACTTAGCATATGATGACGCAACGGAAGGCAAGCGGTTTTAAAGTTCAACGATTCGACCTTTCAGAACAAAACAGTTTTCCATTTGAAATTTGTTTGTTTGTTTGGCTGTTGTTTAGGACTCTGCAGAACAATTTCCATCGTGAGAAGCCATGTCAAATGGGCATAACACTTGGATGATGTACGACTTGAAATGACTGTTCCATTTACAACATTTTAGTACGATAATAACAACAATAATTATAAAAAAAAGTTTCTTCAAATTCTTAGACTCTGAGTATTGAAAATGTGTATTAACATTTCCTCAACGAGTAAAGTTACCGTGGGAAAATTCACCCCTCCTAATCTCAAAATAATAATTTGTAAAAAGACATTTTAGTTCCTGAATTAAAAGGATCAATTTTGTGCCCACGCTGTAGTTACAAATTGTATACCCGTCTCTGGGTAATTACAAGATTATCCTTCTAGATCACGAAACAGCTCTGAATTCCTAATGCTCTTTTACCTCTGACGTATAACCTGCGAGTATCGAAAGAGAAACTCCACATTCTAGGAAGATTTTTCAAGGAGAAATCAAATAATAACTATTGTTGCGAATCTTACTCTTTTCTTCAGCAGGAAAGTGTGACAAACAGCAACTGTGATGACGTAAACAAACTGGTCTGAAAGGTCGTGACGATGCGGCTGAGTGGTTTGAAAGAAAAAAACTCAATATTCCATCATTTGAATTTACTTTTTGCATCACTATCTTTGTCTAGATAATTCTGTAAACTGGGCAGGATTTTTCTTTCGTGAAGTCATTCTGGAAACAGAGCATTGCAGAAATGTATCGTTGAAAGACATCTCAGTTTGCTACTGCAGACTCTTTCTAAACCTCAGACAAGGATTTGTGACAGCACAAGCATCGTACATCAGTAAGTTTCTTTATGGAAGATAAAAATTGTTTCAAGATTTTCCATACTAATTTAACCACAATTCCTTTGGTATCCAACCCTTTTTCAAATATCAAGGGCTTCATCAATGAGATTCATACACTTTTTATAAGAAAACTGCAAAGCTTTTAGAATATAGATTATAGTTTTCTTTAGAACTCTTATCTAACTTGTAAATCTACCTAATTTCTGCTCTTAAGACTGAAGCTGCTATTCAAACATTATTAGCTTGAAATTTTTCCTAAGGATGAGCTAAGGCCTAATATCACTCTCATTCAAGCTCCAATTTATTCAGTTTGCATTTACACGGAATGGCGACTGTCTGAATTCGTCGCTAAGTCCGAGAGACGTCTATCGTTAACATCCTTAGCGCGACAAATAATCACCTAACCCTCTCCACCCCTGTTATTACTCTTTGTCTCCTCGGAAGTCACACTATGATGCCCTGTTATTTTAATTAATTTATACGTATTTTTGGTGTAAAAGGATTAGGAGGGCGAGACCTCTTTGCATTTTTAGTCGCTAACTTTTGTTACGTGTAACAGAGGAAGAATAGAATCGAGCAAACGGAAAAAAATTCAGTCAGAAAACCAAAAACGAAATTTGGAGCAGAGAATTCTTGCCAAAAATAGTTCCTTTAAATTCAAATGAACACTAAGACCATGGCACCCTTAAAACGTAAATATGTAAAGCACATTTATGGAAATGTATTGAACTGTAAAAAATTAATCCCTGGATATCGATCGGTTTCACTATGTTTAATTTCGAACATTTTTTTTTTTTTTACTCCAGCAGCAGCAAAAGGAACTGTATCAATAATTCAGCACAGCTACGGGGTAACAGCATGCAATTTGATCAATTTCCAGACAGATTTTTTATTTTTTTCTGAAGCAGGAAAGAAGTGGTAGTAACTATATATTGTATCCTTGAAATTTTGATTGTCGCTCCGGCCTTAGCGGCAATATCGTGACGGAAAACCCATTAACTGTGCTCTCATCCTCCATATAAGGAGGCGTCAATTGATATTTGTCACTTTCATATTCCCTGTGGACCGTTTGGAAGCCATTGAAGTGCATTCGAGCAAATCTTGCTGCACCTAACGCATGTAAATTAGTTGTGTACATATTTCTGACCAGCATTCTAAATCGACATTGTTTTCACGGGTATCTTATCTTGTCAAATATGTAGAGAGGGTGTGTACGGAGCCAACCAAGGAAGCCTGAAAAAAGAATTTGTGTTTAAGAGGGGCGAAAAAAAAGATTTCAGTGATATGACTTCCCTTATCGAACGCGAACAAGCAAGTTTAAAGAGTCCCAGAAGTCCCGGTCGACCGACTAGTGGGCAGTTTAGCTTCAAGGGATCTCTATACGTGGCTAATAATGAGAAAGATTGGATCGAAATTCAGAAGAACACGTTTACAAATTGGTGCAACGTTCAAATCCAACCTTACGGTGTACAAATTACGAGTGATTTAGCTGAGGCGTTTAAAGATGGACTTTCTCTTGTATACCTGGTTGAATCGATTTCTACGAAGAAAGTTGGTCGATACAACAAGAACCCTAAGCTGTACGCACAGAAACTCGAAAATATCACCAGCGCACTGAAGTTACTCCAGAACGACGGGATAAAGTTGGTAAACATTGGTAAGCCATTAAATTATTTCGTGACAGTGGTGTGCACACAGACATGCTAGACGACAACCGTGCGACGTTTTTATTTACCTTTTATGTTCTCGATATGTCCTTTAATATACGCAGACAAGTTTAAGTAAATATAACGGTGCATCGAGAATCATTAGGAACAACACAGCTTAAAGATAAATAAAAACGATATCTTAAAAGATACGAATCTGAACGAAAGCTGTTACTAAAAGTTTCCGCACAAGTTTCTAGTTACAAGGCAAAAGGTCTCAGAAATCACGCAAAAATAACACGATTCCTCGCACAGCTGAATTTGTTTTTATCACGGAATGCTCATAGCTGGTTGAATTAAGATACAGCAGTTTACTCCGGACGTGAATATGTCGAACGCATTGTACACAAGTTTCGAAGCCTTTGGCTAGATGTTTGCCAAATATTGCACAGGCATCGAATGCACGCAAATTGAAATCGAAAATAGGTTGTGTTAACGGCTAGGGAGCTTCGAACCTATAGAGTACCCTATAGAAGTTTGAATCGGCCATGAAGCCTACTGAAATACGCTTAAAACGTTCGTTTGCGAAGCGACTCTGTAAAATATTTATAATATCGGTCTACCAGTTTCAAAGATAGTAATGTTTACGTATAATTCTTAACCCATATTTTTTAATTTTCCCCGCAATTAATTCACAAAAGACCACGACCTTCACTTAGAAAAAGACAATAACAATGACGAATTTCAAATTTTTAACTCAGAGGGCGGTGAGAAAAATAAAAGATTATTTTTGCGCCGTGTCTTCGTTTTTCGAAGCATCGATTTCATTCTCTATTTTCCGTTGCATTCATTGTTTTTCTGGCCCGTTTTTATTTTACGATAAAAAAAAAAATTGACTTCGACCTTAAACATGAAAAGAACGACGATTCTTTTTGTCAGATTACTAATGCTTCAAGCATTCATGAAGATTCCACGATATGGCCGATCGTCAATTGTGTTTACTTCAAGAATCGATTTCCACAGCTCACATTTTTGTTGAATATCATAACGACGTGACACTGGTTCAGACGAACTCCAATCTATCCAATGACAGACAATTTAACATCACTTGATCCCTTTTGTCTCAACGCACGTACAGACAGTAAAAAACTCTTCCAACACTGTTATAAGTTTTTTTTTCTTTTTCTTTTTGCTATTTTATACCGCTAAATAAACGTGAGAGAATGCGGCAGTCCGTTAAGCAAACCCCAACTTTCGTTTAGTCTTTGTCAGTTACTGAAATTAGTACATTTTTCAACAAATGCGCCATACCGTCAAATATATATTGCACCACATAGGGTTTAATAATATTGGCTTTCCAAATTCGCCCCTTTTTGCTTTGCAAATCACTCCAATCAGGCCTCCCGTACTTTTTTTAACGCAATACAACACCACAGAAAATTGAACGTTTAACCCTCTCTTCCCAAATATTTCCTATAGCCTCTTATTTCACGATTTTAATAGAAGTAGCCTCTCGTTCAAAACAAATAAAACGTTACTTTTTCCTTGCCTGTGTAAGAGTCTTTTCCGTTTCCTGTTAGCCAATCTGAATAAGCGTGAGATACGCAAAAAGCGCACGTAGACACAGACCTTAATTTTTTTGCGCGCATGCACCAGAGTTTGTTTGCGTGATTCCCGCTTCGTTCATGATTCTCTTGCCAGGGAAACGAAAAGATTGATACCTGGGGAAACTCTCTTCCTTCGGAAGTATAATTGATACGATTTGACGCTATACTCTCGGTGGTCTCTCGACGCGGTGGAAGAGAAAAGAGATATCGATTTATATCCGATCCCTATTTTCATAAACTGCATAAGAATATGTCAATATACTTAGTCTTAGGAACTAAGAATAAGTCATTATCAATAAACCGTTAAATAGGTATAAGGAAAAAAAATACGAGTTTACCTTCCCGCATTGTTTTCCAGGGAACGAGGACATTGCCAATGGGAACGTGAAACTAATTCTCGGTCTGATATGGAGGCTAATCCTACACTATCAGATCAGTTCAAGTGGTAGCGCCTCAGGCAAGCAGTTACTGTTGTTATGGTTAAAAAATGCGATCCCTGACATGGAAATCCGGAATGTGACAACGGACTGGAACGATGGCAGAGCTTTGAGCGCCCTCAACGAATTCTGCCAACCAGGCTTATGTCCAAACTATAAGAGTCTAAACCCAGATGCAAAACTGTCGAACACAAGTGACGCCATGGACGCTGCCGAAAAAAACTTCAGCATCCCAAAAGTTCTTTCTCCGGAATTCTTCGTCAATCCATTTGTAGACGAATTGAGTATGATGACGTATCTGTCGTATTACACACAGCCGGGATCCATCGGAGAAAAACGAACGCTGCAATTCATCAATGATTCGGCACCAGGCTTGAACGTGCGAAATTTCAACACCGATTGGAATGATGGGAGGAAATTGTTGCAGTTTCTTGAAGCTCAGTGCCCTGGGATCGTCCCGGGGTACGAAGATATCGATCGGAATAGTCCGTTAGAAAACGCTAAGCTAGGGTTGGACATCGCGGAGGAGAAATTCGGAATAAGAAAAGTGTTAACCCCGGAGGAACTTGTCAGTCCCGATGTGGACGAGCTCAGCATTATGGCATATATGTTGCAGTTTCGTACCGCTGATAAGCTACAAAGTCATGCGCACATCTTCAAGGCGGACGGCAACGGAATTAAGCGGGGAGTTCGTGGGAAAACCTCTGAGTTTTTCATATACGGTCGTAAAGATATCGGTTTTGATGGGGTACGTGTCAATATCCGAGGCCCGGGCGATGAGGATTCCGTGCCAGTTGAAACACAAGTTGAAGCAGACGGGTCTCTCCGATGCAAATTTGTTCCCCTTGAAAGCGGCATTCACACGATCTCTGTAAAGCACAACGGTAAAGAAGTCCCTAAAGGCCCTTTCCAAGTGATGGTGCACGAGAACGTGGCAGATGTTACGGTTTCTGGCGGGGGAATCAAGAATGCCGTCGTATTCAAACCGGCAGAGTTCGTTGTTCAAACCAATGACGAGAACTCGCCCCCGGTGACGGCGGTAGTGGAAGGACCCACCAAAACAGCGAACTGCAATATGGAACACTTGGGAAATGGAAAGTGGCGGGGTTATTTTGTACCGCGAGAAGTGGGGGAGCACAAGATTCGTATCGAAGTCGGAGACACACCCCTGCTCGGAAGTCCCTTTACAACTAAAGTAGGAGATCCGACCAAGTGCAGTGTGGCTGGGAACGGTGAGTGGTGCTACCTATCAATGTCGTCACGCAAAGGTTTGTTACTCCAGAAATTATCATGTCACACAAAGAACACAGCTACGTGACATGTACGCGATTTACGTTGTTTGGCAAGAGTCATTTAGTTACTCAAACATTTTGCTTTTCTTCCCGCAGAAACTGCCCGGAATCCGACAATAGGACGTCCTGCCTCCTTCGACGTTGATACTTCCGGGGCGGGCCTGGGGGAACTGGCTATCCAATGCCGGGGTCCCATAGGGAATGTCCCTGTCGACGTGAGACCCACTGCACCTGGGCGGTACAATGTATCGTTTATTCCTAACAAGCCCGGGGAGTATAACATTCACTTCGTATTCAACGGAGATGATATACCAGGAAGTCCAGTCAAAGCGGTAGTGAGTGATCCCAGCCGGATTGTTGCGCACGGAGATGGTTTACATCAGGTGCCACATGAAATTATGTTTGTTTATTATCATTTCCCTTTCCTCACGTGGGATTTGACGGCAAAAACCAAGTTCTTCCCACTCATCTCTGACACGCGCAACAAAAGCTAAGTCTATCCGAGGTCTAAAGAACTTCGCGTCTTTCTTGCAGCACTTTTTTAATCGAGTGTCAAAAGCAACTCGAGAATGTATTTGTTTAGACTTTAGTTTCCGACTGATCTCGAAAACGTGCGCAAACCTCTCCACCAATCAGATGCAAATCTCAGAGACTGGTTACTTGGCCAATCGCTCTCTTCCGCGCTTCGAGCAGTTTGCTTGTGTTAACTTTGAGTTCTTGTTGGCTTCCAATCATATTCACTCTTGTTCTAGTTTTGGGCTGACAACAATTTATCTAAAGCCCTAACTGACACACAAAAAAATTGCGAATTATTTATCTGTATCTATGTATCCTCTTACAATTTTAGGTGACTACTGACTCGGAGGCAGAATTCTTTATCACACTTCATGGCGCCGGTGATGGAGAACTGAAGGTGTATGGCGAGGCTCCATATGGACACTTTCCTGTAGATCTGCTACAGTCCCCTAAAGAAAAGGACACCTACATTGTGCGGTACACTCCCCAGGGGGTGGGTCTGCACAAAATACATATCAACTTTGCTGGGGAACCAGTTCAGGGAAGCCCGTACATAGTGAAGGTGAGAAACATGACGTCACATCTCCCCCTCTCATACTCATGCGCAGTTTAATGTTCTACATATCTTGAATTTTGTTTTTCATCAGGTGGCGGACCCCAGACAAGTCACTCTGGATACACGTGAGTTAGAACGCGAACCTAAGCGCTTTACTGTCCGCCATGAGGTGGACATACCCGTGCAGGTTCCTAGCTCTGCTGGAGAGGGCCAACTAGAGGCTGCTGTTGTGGGCCCTGACCAAGAAAGTGTTCCTTCTAGCGTGACAAAGGATGACGATGGTTATTATCATATCCGGTTTGTACCTCGTCAAACTGGAGAACACAGAGTGATGGTCATGTATGGTGGCAAGGAAGTGTCCAGTAGTCCATACGTCATCCGCATCCGGGACGCCACTAGTATGAAGGTCAAGGTCACCGAGATGGAGCAGATGAGGACTGGTTACTCAGCTCAAAAAGAGGTTCGTGTTATTTCGTTTCTCTGACGTTCACTAGTGATGAAATATCTTCTAACCGTTTTGTTTTATCCTCATGTTTAGGTTGACGTTCCTATCGAAGTTCCAGAAGAAGTTGATGAGATTTCTGCCTCCGTCCAAGACGAAGATGGCAAACCTATAAAGTCAACGTTGACCTTTGAACCAGACGGGTTATACCACGTGAGGTAAGAGCAGAGCATTTGCGTGACGTTGATCGTGTCAAGGGCTTGCACGCCATTTTAAAAGAATTCTTTGTGACGCAGAAAAAAAAAAGAACAACTAGCTTATCCAATTGATTTCAGGTTTGTTCCGTACAAACCCGGCCGTTATACTGTAGATGTGCGCTGTGGAGGACAGTCCATAGAGAACAGCCCCTTCGTTATGAAAATCTCCGAAGCTGAGACAGTGTCGGTAAAACTGAAAGAGTTTGAGAAACAGGTAACCCACTGATTCGTTATCCTCCATCCGGTGTTTTTGCCCTTTGAATTCTAAATAACTTTTGGTGTGAGACGAGCTGAGTTCGAGGCGAGGAGTAACCAGCCTCGAACTGGAGAGAATTATTAGGCATGAATTAATGACGTTCTTTTCACCCTTCCCCTGACAGGAGGGAGTAAGCTATCACGTGGGATATGAGGTAGACGTACCGATGGAGATACCATCTGAAGTGGATGAAGTGTCGGCGGTGATTTATGACCCGGATGGAAATATTGACAAGTCGACTTTCAAGAAGGAATCCGATGGTCTTCATCATTTGAAGTTTAGTCCAAAAAAGATAGGACAGTATAAGGTAAGACTTCCTTATAGTCTTATAGTCTCCTGGTTTACCTTATCATCCCCATAAGAAATAACTTCTCACTTGCGTCTAACTTATTTCTTTTTTACAAAGGTGGATATTCGCTGCGGTGGACGCTCGGTAGAAAACAGCCCATTCCCCTTGAACGTGTCCCAGCCAAAGACGGCCATTGTTCGTTTACGTCAACCAGAGGAATCTGAAAACAAGTACTTAGTTCGCCGCGAACTTGACATAGCACTAGACGCCGCAGAAGGTACAAGGAACTTGTCTTCATATGTAGACGGGCCCGATTCGGAGAATGTTCCAGTATCTTTTGATAAAGGAGACGATGGATTGTACCACGTTAAGTTTGTGCCTTACAAGCCAGGAACCTACAAGGTAAGAGGTCGGCGTCAATGTTATCGTGGAGGATTAGGTTTGGAAAATGTTTTTCGGTTGCGCAAATACAAAAGAGCAAATAAGTCATTGCGGTTTGTTTGAGCTTCGTTTCTATTTCTCTTACTTTATCCTTCCAAAAACCGCTCGCTACTGATAGCAAGTGGCCCTTATTTCCCATCCTGTTTATAGTTGGTTTACCAGCGGACGGTAAATTTTCGTCCATCGTGGAGAAAGTGTGGTGCATCAGCTGGGACATACGTTGATTAAATTTATTTTTGGAGTACTCTTGTGGGTTCGAATTTTTCTTTCTTTTGTTGAAAAAGTTAAAGTCCACTAGTTAGATGTTTTTATTCCACAAGTTCCGTCATTTCGTGGCTATGAACCTAATGGCCTTGTACACTATTCATGAAAAGCCAAACCACATTTTTTGTTCATATTTCAGCTTTCGTCACTCTGTCCATACTTTTTGAAATATGTTTAGTTTCTCATGGTATTTTGCGTTTACTCAGGTTCATGTTAAGAGTAATGGTACTCCAGTGGCCAGTAGTCCATTCCTAATTAAAGTCGGTGACCCAGGGAAGGTGCAAGTTGCGCATGTCCGTAGTGAGGAACTCTATGCAGAGCGAGTTATCAAGAACGAAGTGGATTTAGCCGTAGAAAGCTCTTATGATATGAACGATGAAGATTTCTCTGCAAGGGTCACAGGGCCCGATGGAGAAAATGTCCCATGTCACGTGAGAAAGGGGTCTGACAACCGACACCACGTCAGATTTACTCCACATAAAGCTGGTCCATATAAGGTAAGGTGCCTTCCCAGGTGGAGGAAGGTTGTAGGGTTGACATTAAAGAACGTTTGGTGACTTAAATGTCGATTTTCAGTCGGCGTATATCGACAGTCTTGCTATTTGGGGAGCGGAAGTTCTGAACGTAGGTTTCTTGAGGATTCGATTGTACTTTTGGCGCAATGGCCTCGTCAAAACATTTCGAAGTTTTTATTGGAGAATTTTTTTGGTATTAAGCTTTTTTAAAACTCCATAGTCACCAGTAAAACCATCCAAAGCTAACGCGGTGATCACTAAACATTGAGTAGAATGGATGATAAGTATCATAATAAAGCGACCTCTTGAGAAATTATATGAAAACAAAGTACTTTTCAGTTTAATCTTCCAATAGGACTTAATCACAGTCTTGCGGCAAGTATTCATAATTTGCAGTCATGATGCTGACAAATTGAATCGCAATTGACTTTTATCTTTGGTCAGGTGGACGTTCGGTACCAGGGCGAGCCCGTCCAAGGCTCCCCTTTCACTGTCAACGTCACAGATCAGGGGCAGGGAGGCCCAATAGTGAATTTCAACGAATCAGATCGATTTTTCGAGAACCGCGAGGCGGACATCCCCATTGTGATCCCAGAGGGTTCATCTGCAGATTACCTCAAGTGCCGCGTTACTGATCCCGAGATGGAGTTACTTGATTACGAACTGACCTACGACCGAGGCTCCAACTTGTATCACGTACGGTTTGTACCAAAGAGACCTGGGCGCCACAGAGTAGACGTGGAATACGATGGTGTTCCTGTGGATGGTTCGCCGTTTATGATGAATATTGAAGGAACCGAAGGATATAAAAGGGTTTTTGCTACAGGAGATGGAATTAAAGGAGGTGTGTATTTTCAATGTCTTCTTTTGACTGAAGACTGAACCATTTTAAAACGCAAATTTTAAGCCCTCACTGTTTATGAGCAGTTAAGCCAAACCTAAAGCGGGCGTCAAAACTCAAAGAATAAATATTTAAATATAATTAAGTTCGCAAGATTTACCGGTAGCTTTTGCTCATCTTAACTCGATCGGAATATTGACTCATGTCATTAGGGGGTGTGGCCAATTCATATTTTTCTTTCTTTTTATATCAGTCATTTCGTTGGTATTAGTTGGAGATGAGATCGACCATCTACCATTCCATATCCTTCATGCGCTCGTAAAATAGCTTTTAGATAGATAGTTTAGCCGCAGGCTTTACATATATGTGATAGAGAAATACTCTACGCCCCCTTTTTGTGCACAGGTGTGGTGAACGAGAAGATAGACTTTATGGTGGATGCCCGCACTGCAGGCCGGGGAAAGCTGACCGGGAAGCTTACTGGAGTCAAATATCACACTGATGTGGAAGTCACTGACTTGAAGGACGGGAGGTACGCATGTCACTACTTGGTACCCCAGGCCGGGGCTTATGTTCTGTCACTAATGTGGAATGGACAGCACATACCTGACAGTCCTTATAAAGTCACAATCAGAGAAGCGCAGGCAATGAACGCTAAAAGTTGTTTTGTTGAAGGTGAGAATTTTTCTGCACTATTTACTCCTAAAATTGAAGGATTTTTAGAAGTTAATTAGATGATTTATGACACGACTCGGGCAGTCAGAGGGCCAATAACTAAAATCAACCAATCAAAATGCTCTATTGTCGGTCAATATTCTCTCAGTATTGGACCGGGCACTGTCTCGAATGGTCCCAAATGATACCGCACTTGTGTCCCTTTGAACTTCAGTCGTATAATAAATCTCTTATTAACCAAGCTTGCTCGGGACCGTACTGGAAGAATATCGGCCCTCGGTCTTTTTTGTACGGACCTCGCTGCGCTCGGTCCGTACTGTCAAGACCTCGGGTCGATATTCTCCCAGTACGACCCTCGCGCTTGGTTAATAAGATATATATCTCAATCCGTTAAGATCATCAAATGACTGAACACAGTGACACAACTATAAGGGCAGGCAAATGAAAACATGTTTTAAAACCAGTTTAACTTGTTTGACCTTTAGGGAGCATGCTCAAGGAAGGCGCTGGAGCCACAGTAGGCCAAGCCATGGGCTTCAGCATTAACAGCAAAGATGCTGGCCCGGGGCAACTGTATGTTCGCTGTCAAGGGCCCACAAAGGACTGTGATTGCACAGTGTTTGACAACAAGGATTCTACTTATCAAGTACAAATCTTTCCTTCGGAAGTTGGGAACCACCTCGTGTATGTGGAGTGGGGAGGAAGACCTGTGCATGGAAGTCCATTTTTGGTGCGCGTGGGACAGCCCCCTGATCCCAGTAAAGTTCGTGTGTACGGTATGTTAAGTCACGTAATTCTGACCTACTTTGGAGTTTTACACAGAATTTTCCGAAGAATGATTAGGATCTTCGATTTTCTCGACAGGTCCTGGGTTGGAGAACGGATTGCTACGAAATTTCAAAGGAGAATTCCTGGTAGAAACCAAAGGCGCTGGTCCGGGAACACTTAAGATCAGAATCCATGGACCACGAGGGGCCTTCAAAGTGGAGATGTACCGGGACACATCTAAGGAGCGTTCTATTGGAGTGCGATACAACCCCACTGAGGCGGGACGGTACATTATCAACATCAAATGGGCAGATCAGCACATACCTGGAAGTCCTTTTGACGTCACGATAGTTGAAACAAGAGACGAACTTGAATCACTTAATGAATTGAATGACAATGCTGTTCTATTTCAACAAAGGGATGCTAGACTGTAGAAGACTGGTAGCTAGTAATTTTTAGACTTGTATCCAGCCTTTTCTAGGTCCGTCATTTCCAAGGCTGAAAAACTCCGCATTTTATTTCATCTTAATTCGATCTATATCAACTAATTTTCGGTCATTTCCAAGGTCCGTCATTTCCAAGGCTGAAAAACTCCGCATTTTATTTCATCTTAATCCGATCTATATCAACTAATTTTCGACAGCCTGTGCTAGGCTGTCGATCTATGGAGACAGCGTAAGTCTGGGAGGAGAAAAATGGCGCTCTTTCACAGACTTCATGGTTTTCTCTCGCTCGTTGTTTTCGATTCCACTGATCAAGATTCTGGCACATGCTATTTTCTTTTTTGAATATCGGATTTGTTCTACATATCGGTGTTAGCAGTTACTAAAAAACATGGAGTGGGAGGGGAGGGTAATTGAAGAGGCGAGGGAGGGGAGGGTAATTGGAGGTGCGATCTTTGTGTCAGTGAAGTTATGTTGAAGAATTTGTTCAATGGTCTGATTCGAGAATCAGAACGTAGGAACTTCATCGAATATCGTCTCAATGATTTACAGATACGTAACCTACTCTCTTGGGTGCATTCGTTAAAAAATGCGTATTTTTCAAGTTGTTCCACCGTGCAAATGATATGAATCCCTGTATAACGTCACACTCACTAGACTTGTCATAGGCGAGCTGAAGACAACATTATTTTGATTGACAGAATTCCGGATTGATATGGTTTTCCAGGATTTCCTAAAAATATTGGGCGCATTTATAGTTACCCATCATGAATGTTTGGAAGAGCACGACATTATTTTTAATTTTTCGGAATCGGCAAGGGCATATCATACACACAAGTATTGTATTTAGTCCAAACTTTTTTAACAAAAATGCTTCATCCTACCAGACTAAAACGGGCACGAATAAAAACAGATCCCAGATCGGGAAAGGTGTATTTTGATATTCGCCCAAGTTTAAATGTTTTATTTATGGTAACTAGTTGATATTTATATGGTACTTTGGTTAGATTTAAATCTACTGGTTTAAAATAGAAATACTCATATGGGTTTAGTACAATCCAAATAAATATGTGTGTGTAATTTCAAGGTTAATCAAAAGCTAGTGTACCAATGTGTATTGCCCATAACCATATACTGTGCAAAATATTATTCTAATCTATTTTGTGAGTCGTTTCAACTGTTTCATCTATTTTAAAAAACCAGCATTGAGTATTTACATATTATAGAACTTTTAGAAGAATTTACTTCGAATCTGTGGAGTTTATTGGCTTGAACAGCATAACTTTCACAGCAGTTATACCTAATAATGAAAATCCCTTGCAAAGAGGAAGGAAAACAACACGGCAATATCAAGTAAGGGACGTGGAAGGAATCTAAGTGTTCTAGGGTAAGATGCCTATTCTCAAAAGTTAGTGTGTATTTTATTTTTAGCCAGAGCATGGTGTGAGCTTGCATTGATTGGAAACAGCATAGAAACAAATGCTGTGACCACAGTTGTAGAGGTTGAGCCGGAGCAGATTGGTGCGAGCTTCATTAGCATAATGATAGCCGATAGATCGAACAGAAACGCCAGCAAAAGGCTGTCTTTTTTTGACAAGATACATTTGAAGGTTTTTTAGTTAGATTTGTTACTCATGTGTAAATAAAAGTCTATTTTGGCCAGGTGACGTGTTATTGTAAGACTGTTACCGCAGAAATATCTAGGCCCTTACGGTGTGGTAAACATAAATGATATGCAACTCACGCACTGACATGATAAATTTCTTTTTAGTGGTGTCTCAATTTGAATTGATCACGATTTATCAATACTTCTGCCCCTGCAAAGACAATTTCCTTCCCTTGTCATTATGAAAAAAATACAGGAATTATTTCGCGTAATTGTTCTGTTTGACCAACCAAAATTAATTCGCATGAAATTGTTAATTACGGAGAGACGTAAGCCGAATTTCTCTAGACTGACGCAAACACCGAAACGAGCTTGGGATGAGTCGAGAATTTGATTACTTCAATGCAAGGTGGGCGTGCGGTTTTGGTAGTATCCAGTACACTATTTGTAGTTGCTCCTGAAACTGTAAAAGTCTCCACAAAAATTTTTCAAGCTCTTAGCTTGTAATCGGCTTCAGTTATTCTTCTGATTTGTGTGATATCCTTTGTTTTATCAATAACATTTTGCGGTTTCGCTGACGTTAAAGATATTTTGCAAGTCATAGAAATCTTGTCATAGTATTACAATAACGTAGGTCTCGGTATGGACCAGTTTGGCAAAACTTGTCTTTCGACCTTTCGGTGGCTTTCGCGAACTTTATTCCTTGAAACGTAGTTTGTGTGACTGTGGTAATATCTATTAAGACTGTTTGAGAGGTGGAAGAATCCTGAAGAAACTTCGAAATCGATAAAGAACCTTCGCTAAGGCCTCTCACGTTTGAATGGTTCAGCGATATCACTTCCGGTCAAGGCTGACCGCGAATTCCTACACATAATATGAGGCCAGAATGTGAAGAGAGCGGAAGTGGTGGGCGGGCAGTCCATTGCTACTTCATGAAATCTAAAGTACCAGAATAGCTGTTTGAATAATAAACGCACGCGTGTAAAACGATTTTACGATATGACACAACATATCCCTGAGATAGACAAGTGCGAAGGAATTGGCTAACTAGTTGACTCCCACCATAATGGCGGCTCTAAAGAAAACCATATTATTTTTAGACTGGACAGAAAAGTTACACCAGTAGAAGATTAAAAACCAACATTTAATAACCTTAAAAGTTTTATTTGTTCAGGTTTTGTGCCATCTTAGAAAAGTTATCTGACAAGCGAATAAAAATTTGACAATTTTCCTATTATCAAGATCAGAAGCATGTGGTTCTTTTTAGGTACATTTTAAACACCAAGTCGTTCAAATGTTTGTGCTTATGAACATTTTTCAACAACTGTTTCTCTTCGATATAAAAAGCAATAGCCTGCAATGCTCATTACAAAGTCCTTGGACTTTGTACTTTCTTACAATAGGTATTATTTTCCATTGTGGTAGTTTTTTTTTTTTTTTTTTCAATTTGGTTGCCTCATGTGAAGGTTGTATTGTTCGATACCATTAATCAAAGCCAAAAACAAGACAAAGAAAGAACACTAAAATGGCATTGAAAATTAGTTTGCTTACAAAATCATTCAATTCAAATGCAAGGTTTTTTCTTTTTTTTCCATTTCACAGATTCATTATTGATTAGTTTTCAAAGTAGGAGCTCTATTAGGTGTCGTCCACTGTTTTGAAAATAAGTCGCTATCAGTTTGTTTTTTGTTGCCTCGAGGGAGAAAACTTTTACACAGCATAAAGCTGTTTTTGTGTACATAAAGCCACAGTGTGAAGGTGTAGTCTGATCGTCCGGGTGAGTGTAGTCCTGAGAAGGACTGTTGTCGGTGGCAGTGACTGACGTTTCGACAACCTGTGCGGAAGTCATCATTACCCCCGGGTTCAAACCATTTACTGCATAAAGCCACAGTGGTTTAGAATATCTGCGTTTTTTATGTGTGGATTTTGTCAAAACAGGTCAAAGCTCTTTAGGCGTTGTTTCCTTAACTTGCTCTCAGTTGAATGAAACGTTTCGTTCTTGTCCAAAATCAAACTCGTGCTTTCTGCCTGGAATCAGACTCAGAGGTAATTCGGTAAAGAAACGAAGAAAATGCAGATCCCTCAAACATCAACAAAACATTTGTTTGGATACCAATTGAAAAGTTATTATTCTATTCAGGAAACAAAACAGTCGAGTGATATTCCATGGAAAGGCCCTTTAACATGCAAGCGGATTCACTATCATTTCGATTGATGTAGATTATGTGGCTCTACAGAAAAGCTATTTATTTCATTGTTTTAACTGTCCATCAACGCCAGAAATCGATATAAAATAATAGTAATGAAGTTGGAAGCAAGCAGAAAACGTGAAACAATACATATCAGCAATTTTCTTTAAGCGGAAACGTGAAAGGGGAAATTGGAAAGACCATGTCGCTAAAAAAAAAACAAAAAACAATTGTATATATTAAATCTGGTATCATATCACGTACCAAAGGTTGAAGGTGACATTTGCAAATGGAGGATATGTACTTGGGGGAGATTAAAAGCTTCAAAACTAATGCATTTTACGATCTCATGAAATTTTGCGATTTGCATGCTCGGCAACTTGAGCAAAAGAGGAAGGAGATAACATGGGCACGTGTTTTAAAAATTGAAAGAAAGGAAAACACGAAATTGTCTTAATTAAGTGTGTTTTTCAACAGAATTTGATTTTCTAGTTTTCAAAAGAAAGCTGCTGTTTCAATTTTTCAAACAGAATCCTTTGATTAATGATTTTTTTATAAATGAGAAAAAAAACAGAATATTATTATCAGAATAAATGTTCATTATATTTATACTTGTCTGTAAGAGAAATCTTATGTTTTGAAACGCTACAATTTTGCAAAAACTAAAAAAGAATATTGAATATTGATGAAAAGTAAAAGATTCTGTGATGTTTTTAATGGCACCTTGATTAAATCAAAGCGTTGATTTGAAAATTTAAGACTGTATTCAGCTAATGGCTTTTTTGTTAAAAGCAGGAACCTGAATCTCCGAGATATACTCATAAATTTAAGGCTTCAAAATGTCTTTCTTGCGTGTTCCGTGCGCAAAGTGTGAATATACGCTCGTCCTAAATCATATACGAGCGTTTTGGAGCATAATTTCCTGTTTTCTTTTCAAGCTTTGAAGCAAAATAAAGCACAATACTGGGAGAAAATTTTATGAAAACATATTTCTTATTTCTAATTCGCTGGCTCAGTTGATCATTTTTTCTTTTGTTTTGTAGCCCCTTGCCAAAACAAAAGTGTCAATAGAGATTTTCAATTTTCGTTTGCAATGCAAATGTGCAGTTAGTTTATATTTTCAGCTCATAAGCAGTTTTGTCACTCGCCAACGGACAATATAGAAACCACATATCTATACACGAACTCAACAAGCGTGTCCACAGACATACTAAAAATAATTGCTCTCGAAACAGGCGTCAGTTCCGAGAAGGTCAGTTAGGTCGAATACGCGACCAAATTTTCATTTAGGAGATAAAGGACGGGTCTCTTTTGTTTCTAAAGCCTTTTATCCTAATGTGCCAACTGCCTAAGGAAGCGTAAATTCGTCAGCTGCCCTTTGATGATCTTGAATCAAAACACGAGTGATTATACTAATTGTTTGACGTCGCCCAGGGAAAATTAAAATAAAAGACGTTCTGAGGCAAAAGCGTCTGTTTACAGCGCCGAAGACGGACTGTTTTCGTTGATCAAGCTCAAGAACTACGAGGAGTTTTTCCAAAGTAGAACTCGATAAAAACATAGAGAAGAAGGCAAGGTGTGAGAAATATGGAGGCACCAAGGCAACCGGTAGATTTCATGTGCAGTGTGAAGTATTTAGGAAGTCAAAATGCTATGTATCCACAGACAGGGACTTTGGAAAACATCGCCCGTGTGTATCAAAAAGGTTGCGCGCTTAACGAGATGGACGTCGCAAAACTGACTGTTACTAAAGACAGCGTTTCACTTCGGAGTAAAAACAACGAAAAGATTTTCAGACTACGGAAAATTTTGTTCTGCGCAAGCTACAAGAAGATTCCCAAAGTTGTTGCGTTTAACTATATGGTTTCGTCCTCACCCAAGCGTTTGGAGTGTCATGTGTTTTTGTGCGGGTCTAACGAAGAGGCGAGAGGGATTGTCGCTGCTTTGACCACAGCGTTCAGAATGGCGTACAATGAGTCGAAAAACGCTGGCGAAATTCACGTGGACGAAACCATCACAAATCACAAGGTATGGACGGTCGATTCAGCTGAGGAGAAAGAGATCAAAGTTATTTTCGCGTTGCCAAGGAAAATCGGTGAAATATTTGATACTTTGACTAATTGCATGACTGCAAAATGATAAGCTGGAGGAACGTCGGATATAACTTGTGCGATCAGAGCCGAACTGCTATGGGAGGTAAAATTAATAATGAGAGAAGAAACTTATGCCTGAAGACGTCTGGAAAGTGCTAATTTATGCAGTGGGTTGCGCTCGCCGATCATACCTATCAAAGACATTTTCGTTTTGAGAAATGAAGTCTCGTTTCTAAGTTAATTGCAATTTTCGGTGGTGAGTCGTTGCAGTTTATGGAACAAACTTGAAACTTCGATTTTAGCATGGTAAAGAGACATCTTCATTTTGCCAAATCACATGTGTGTCGATATGCAGTAAGCTAGTTTATGGTTCGCCTACTCCATTTTCATTCACTGCATCAATATCGAAGAAGATACGAGTGTGTCGTTTTAGACATTTTGCCTTAAAATTGTAATATAAGTAATGTAAATGAATGTGGCAGAAATAATATTCCATAGCGAACTTCGAAAGAAGCTGGTAACCTGCAAGAGAGAATAAGTAAATTGAACATTAAATAACTTTAATATAATCAATTTTTCTGAATTTATTTACGTCTTCAAGACTGAAAAAGCTTAATGTAAATAGTTCATCGAACGTCCTTTATATCAGCTTCAGTCATAAACATGGCCAAGATTGGAATGAAATAAGACCTTGATTGAAATTGTGTGAGGAAAAAAAAACTTGTAAATAGAAAAAATCTCGAAAAAAAAACCTTTACAAGATAATTGAATGAAACGTCTGTAGATATGTCTGGAAGCTTTCCAGTCGAACGCCGAAGAAGAGTGAACGTAAAATAAATTGTGAACATATGTTGTCTGGTTTGTGATTTGTGATCTGTGATTAAATTTCAAACGACGAAAGTCCCAGTACTTTTTAAGAAAAAATATAACATCTCTCCACTTGTTTGAAATTGTTTGTTTTTCAAATTCTGTAGTAGGAAAAAAACTGTTACAAGACTTTCGTGTTGTTCACCACAAACCCTAACAATCAGAAACATGATTTCACCGCTTCTTACCATAAACAGTAAATATCAGGAAATTAAAGGTGGTTTGTTGGGGGCTGCTGTAAGAGTTTCTTTCTGTATACATAGCAAAAAGAAAGGAAAATGGATTTTTTCTCTCAGCAACAGCCATTTATTTTCGATCACTGTTTCGTCGACGCATTCAGTAAGCAAAGTTATTAAGCTGAAAAATAATTGCTGATTGTAAACTCACTTCACAACGTGACCGGTTATGAAATAGGGAATTTTAATTTCGTAAGTATCCTGTTTGTCTAGCAAACACCTTGGGAGATCATTTAAAAACAGTATCATAAAACTGTGATTTTATTGAGCATTTTTGGCGAATGAGGAGACCAATAGTTAATGACACTCACTCTTTAATGTTTCTTAACTTTGGCAATTAAGACGGCTGAAGATGTCATTCCTTTTTCCAAATTTTTTATTTTAATGGGCTTCTTTAACGCTTGTCTAGTATTTGCACCCTCGTTTTATAGATCGCAGGGAGGTCAGCGCAAACATAAGTTTGATTAAGTTCTTAATTATCTTGAATGGGAAAAGTTTAAATGCATTTACTTTCGTGCAAATTGAAGTTGTATGGCGGTGTATTTGAGACAAAAGCAGCAACAAAGATTTCTCTCTGAGACAGCTTTTGGAGGGGTACTACCGATTATTTTTTTTTCCAAGTTTGTAAATAATTATCTCTTTCTTCTCGTGTAAAGCAATAAACGTCTGGGCTGGAAAACAATATCGAGATACCAAGCGTGTCATGCATAACAAGAAATTATTTTTAGATCATTTAGTGCCGTTGGGTATAAGGGAAGGGCAAAAACAGGGTTTTAAATCAAAACCCGAGGTTTTCTTAAGACCCGAAGAAATTAGATGTGAAATAAGTTTTAAGAAACTCTGAAGGAATTTCTTGTCCTCCCTCAGTGTCCTGAGTATTGATTTCCAAAGAAAACGTAGCTAACGATATCTTACATAATTTGCTATGTTTTAGAATATTACCGCTCATAATGAACCAAGCCAAGGAGAACGAAGCAATAACTCGTTTTCTTACTTGGATACGAGCAGAAATGAGAGATATATAGGTGTCATTACCCATCAACCCTCAACTCCCACAGATGATAAACATGTAACTTCTCCCTATAACGTCCATACATTATCCAACAAATAGGTAATGAGAATGATTTAACTAATCAGGTAGAAGGTTGTTACGTTGATTGAACACCAAATTCTCATAACTAGTTTTCAATTAAATGTGTGGCAGCTAGAGGGGAGAATTAACAATCGGATGTTTTTATTTAGTTTATTAAGGGTTGTGAGAAAATTATTGACAGCTCAGTTAAAGCTATTGGTCGTTAGAGAAACAGTGATATTAGTCGAAGAAAATATCGTCATGAAATTCATTAATAACAGGTAAATGTGACACCCTCGACTCAGGCCAGGCGCACTTTAACAACCTGGTCGCCAGGTGTTTCTCGGTCAGTTTTTCAAGATGGTAGCCGATTTTTCTAGATCCTTATTGTGACTGGGAGGGTGAGTTTGAGGCTAGTTTCCAGGCTCTACGCTTTAGTTGGTAAGAGAATGATGGATAACTTAGTGTATGTGAATCACGCTCCTCAATGTGTTATGGCTGGGTCGTAAGCAGTTTAGTCACTCTTAATTGATTTAGTCTCTCCAGGAGGTAATGGGCTCCTGACCGTCTCTCTTAATTCTCCAGCGACCTTTTCGCAACAAATCATGAGCTCTCACGCAAGATATAGCTGGTTGAAAGTTATATTTCTTTCATGGGGCTTTGGAAGCGGTCTTTATGTTTGCGCGCATGTTTAAATTCCCACAGTAAAACTGCCTGATAAAATACTAGTAGGGCAGGCTGGTAGAAAAACCAGTTTAACTATAACTATGTAAGCTATTTTGCTATGGTAATAAAATATTCTTTTTTGAGTGGACTTACTAGTTAGAGGCAAATCCTTAACGATTTCATAACATCAAGGAAGACGTTTTGACCTTAGTATTATGTTATTTCTGTTGGCGATTTTGATCGGCCAGAATGGAACAAATGATCATCCAAATCAAACGGGATTTTCCCAGTTTCTTTGGAAACTCTAGCAGGATAGTGGATGCAATTAAAAAATTGACTGATCCTGCTAGTCATTTCTGATTAATGTAGAACTGAGTTTCCTCTCTAGATGGACATGTATATGTGGTCAGGTCTGGTGCAAAGAGCCTTAAATTTGTCTAAGAATTTGTATTTTTCCAAGCTATGATACACACATCTCAATGATACATCAACAATGGCGCCACTAGTTGCGCATAATCGATGACTCTCGATGAAAAAAAACATAAAAACCTTAAACAAAACAAAAAAGCAATGGAAAGACAAAATCAAAAAACGAAAAACAGAGCTAAAACAATAAATGAATGAATGATTTACTAATCGAAGAATCGATTGATACTTTCTGCTTGAGGGAATCGAAAGAAAAAAACTAGGTAAGTTCAGTCTGACTCTACATGCATCACTTAAATTATTTTCAGAACTGAAATAATTTTAAAATCTTAACAAAGAACATTCTGACTTAAAAACTTGCATTATTACATGAAAACCAGAAGTAATATTTCCTATTCTAATACTATTGAGTCACAAATGATTGTCATTCTTATAGGCACAGAGGAAGCAATTGCCTAAGAAACAAGCATTGTGCTTTATTTTAGCAAATCATCTTTTTTGATCAATATTGTTTGAGAATTGTTCTTCTTCCTTTTACCTAGAAACGATGTTAAAAATTGGAGGTAACAATGTGGAATGATTTACCTCGTTAAATCTTGCGCTGACATCTGTAATCATCAATAATGCTGCTTTGTTATGGGACTTTTTAACAATAGCGTTAATAATGAGGAAATCACATTGTGGTCTCTTGTGAGTAAGACCCCGACATTAACCAGGAACCATAATCTATTTCAATCAAGAAACAGTGAGGTGCCCTTCAAACTTTGAGAGAATTGGGATTTGCATAATTTAGGTGTAAGTAAGAAACAGTGTTGGACGGCTGGGACAGCAAGCAGCCTGAGCAAACGTTCAGAACCAATCTCTATAAACTGCGGATTATAACATGAATCATTCTATACCTAACAAAATTATAAAATTAATATCCCACAAAAGACATAGGTAAGTGCGTGAAACCCTCACGCCTGTTCAAATGTACATCCAGTTGAGAAAGTCATTCGAATGTCTTGTAGAACTTAAAATGGAGATTGTATGCCTTTTAATTTGACTGAAATGAAAGAGAATGAAAACGAAGAGATCAAGATTGCAGTGACGAAGTTCTGTTCTACTATTAAAGGGATAAAAATAGAAAAGATATTCCTCCCTTGACTTTAAACGGACGAGTGTAATTTGGGTTTTGGTATTATAGCTGCTTTTCCTCTGACAAGCACTTCGTCTCCTTTAGAATCAGTAAGAGCCGGCCAAACACAAACAGTCATGGTTGGAACACCCTCTTTAACTTCTTCCTCTTCTTTTTCAAAGAATTCATCAAATTTTTCTCCTTGAACGTCCGGTATCATCACAATTTTTAACGGTGGTAGAAGGTTTACCATTCGCCAGGCAAGTCGCACGCATTCAGTGACGAAATTCTTCATTTTGCTCAATTTATCTTCATCAAGATATGGCAACCAAGGGTCGTGTTCCCTCCATTGACGATGTTGTGCTTTTAACTCTTTTAGCGTTTTCTGTGAGAATAGACAAAAACAAAACTTCTTATCTTTTATTCCTCTTTGAAAATAGTTTGTATCTAGAAATGATCATTATTGTTTTACGCCGAATCTTGAATTACGGCCGGTTATTGGCCTGGGTAACATAAAATGGACTTGAACGTAAGAAGACATAAAATACAACCATGGAATTTTTTAAATGCTCTATGATATTCCAATTGAAATATTGACACCCTCAACTTTAAGACTCGTTAAAAAGAAAAACAAACCGTCTTCACTTTTCTAGTACCGGTAAGTATTCTCTGAGGTAGGTTGTCGTGGGTAAGATATCTTATCAAATGATGATGGACTCTAATTTCATTATTTCAAGGCATTCAAATTGGCATTGGTAATTGAAAATCTTCGACAGACCACAAAGAAACAAATGTTCTGAAATAATTTTACCTCCTCCAGATCCGTCAAATTGCAGTTGACTGCTATTTCTTTAAGAACAGAAGAGCAAACTATCCTGAATGACTCATCTGAAAGTAGCGAAGCTAGCTCTTCTGATATATTTCTTTCCATCGGCTGCAATACCTGTGAAGTAAAACAAAACCTCCTGAGGGTGATCCGCTCGTAAAAAAAGGAAAAGGAGATAAATTTCCCCACGAAACTTTGCTTCCTGTTGTGTGAAAAGGTGAATATTTGATACGATGGATAGTAAATATTCTTCGGAGATTTCTCAAGGTGAGCAATCAGTCAGTTTTCAATTAAACTGAAATTAGCACGAACAAAGATCTAGTGACCTAAGATCTTCTACTTTTATCCGGAGTAAAATGATTAGAGGACATAAAATAGGCTATCCATAGAAGTAGTCCGTATGATAACTATAGAAGATGAAAATTATTGTGATGGGGATGACTATGACGATAACTGTGAATTGCTTTGGATCTAAGACACCTCAAGAAATGAGGTTCATGTTTCTAATGATTTCAGTGGCGAGGTTGCATTAGAATGATGAAGAAGATAATGACGATAGTAACATTGATAATGTTGATGATGCATAGAAAAGGATTTTTGATATTGTGTAGTGAACATACTTTACTGATTTACCTCTAAGGATCCATTAGGTCTTCCCATTTCGTAATTGGCACCTAAGGATGATGCCCATTGGAAAGTTTGAGGTAAAACACCTTTATCAAATGCATCTTTCGAAGATCTTGCAGTATCAAACGCAACCTGAAGATGAGCGAGATTTCATTCTCATGAGTTGTTTATACAACGTTCCAAACAATTTACAGTATTCGCTGAATTTCGTTAAACAGCGACAGAGCTATTTAACTAAATGAAATAAGAAGTATTCCTCTAACTCTTTCAAACAAAAGGGAACATTGTTAAAGTGTTTTTATATTTTAAAGTTCTAAATCGGAAAGAGCGTTCCGACAACTTAAGTCTCGAAAACAAATTCGAATTCTACAATTCTTCCCACTGACATGAAAATTCGCCACGATGCCGAGGATCTTAAACAAAGACAACATCCTCTGAAAATAGTTGACACAACTTTATCTGCCAGATAAGAACGACATGCTAAAGTCGCATCTTAGTTTTTACAAGTTTAGAAATAGTTTAATGTTAAACACAAATATCTGTTTTCGTTTTTAAAATTATGGATTGCATGTAATTAATTATTGATGATATCGCTTTGAATAAAATTCACGAGTTGTAGACACTTTTTCTAAAGGAATTTTGATTCTCATTCGTTAATTTTTTCCTCATTATCGTCATTACCACAAATATTCGACATGTCAGATCCTTCCTGTACCAAAGCTCAGTCCTTTGAACCTTCTTTCCAAACGCTTCGATGGCTTTTTTGCGATGAGCACCATCCATAACTTCGTATTTGCTTATAACGTCACTTCTCTTGTTTTTGCTCGTAACGTCCTCGGATATGCTTTGGTAACCACGATGATTCATCTCTGAATCATTGTTGATCCTATTTTTCCGAAGAAATGGTTTTAACAATGTCAGTAACCGTCAGTTCAAAAATAGCTCATAAAATCCTAACGGTGAAATCGACACCAAATTGTTGTTTATAAGCTACGCGTGGTGTGTTTCGCTATAGATATCTATGTTCAACTTACCTTTGTCGTAAACTTTGATTATCTTTTCTAAGTTGCTCATTGCAGGTTTGCAGTTCTTGATTCTGTTTTGACAGCGTGTCCACCTTCTGCTGAAGCTGTTGGCAAGTTCGGTTCGCTATCTCTACTGCGACATTGTTGGCCGCCAAGAAGTTATTGAAGCCCATTGTATTGGATTTTTCGCTCATCGCTGTAGCCGCTACCTCACCTTGAGTCTCGTTTGAAATAGGGATGTCAGTTTCTTCTTGCTCAAGAACCAGCACCCTTTGACTTGGTGCTGACGAACAGTTTCCCATAAAATCCAACTTTTCGAATGACTTGCATCGGGTTTAATCTAGGTTTCTCTGTATGTTTCTATGTCTAGGAATCTGGGTGTGCCATTTCTGGGAATTTCTATTGTCCGTGACGCATTTGATACCTTCTTAAAATAGGAAAGAATGCAGCTAATTTCAAAAGCTTTGTTTGTCATAAGCCTCTCGTCCATAAGGTACTTCTAGTCCTCTGATCTGATTCAAAGAATCCTTTCTTGAAAGAGTATCTACTTTGTGGTCTCAGCATGTTTCGATTTAAAGATTAGGGATTTTGATACCTCGTATTATACGGCTTTTGAAGTAATCTAAATTTCGATTAATCAACCATGGCAGCACTAGACGATCAAAGAGATGTCATTATTGCGATCGACTTCGGCACTACCTACAGCGGATTTGGATACGTTTTCGTCAAAGCATCCCAAGATCGTATCTATGTGTTTCAGAAGTGGGGAAGAGGACAGGGAATAAGTTACAGCAAGACGCCAACAGCTCTTCTCCTGAACGAGGAAGGTGAATTTCTCAAATTTGGACATGCAGCGGTGGAAATGTATAGGAAACAAGCGATGTCCCAGACGGATTGTAAAAAGCTAATGTATTTCGAAAAGTTTAAACTGTTGCTTCATTCAGAGCAGGCGAGTGTACATTCTTTTCCTCTATATTATTACATCAGTCATTTGTACTCAGTTGTTCCGGATTATGGCAACGAAAGCGAAACCACAGCATCACTAGATCAAAAAGTCAGCTTTGTTGAGGTTTTGATTGAAGACGAACACAGTAGCAAAAAATTCGATTGATTACTTATTGAAAAACACCGGGACGATGTTTTTCTCTGGTTTAAATGTATTACCGTGACGAATATTGTTGTTTAGTAGCTGGTTTTCAACGAAAGACTTGAAAACTGTCTCTAAGAAAGGGCTCCCGAACATCTTTGATCATCCAGGCTTGTTGTTGGCTAAGTTTGATTGAATAATTTAGTGTAAATTAATTACCCGATGAACTGACTACAATTTTATTCAAAATATCTTGGCTTTTACTGACTTCGAAGAAGTTACGGTTTTGCAAGCTCGATCAGCACTTTCAACCATGTCCTTGATTTAAGCGAAATCACGAAGTATGGTGTTAAATATGTTTGTTACCTGTGTGCGGTAACCATCCGAGTGCAATGTTGTTATTTCGTCAACTTTTCATGTAGTGATGCAGTGTTTTCTGATATTGTCATCACTGTTACGGTAGCCAATGTACCCTGACCTTCTCTTCACCTTGGTTGGATTAAGAGCAAAAGTGTTAGTTTGTTATCTGTTACCATATTCATTTAGTAGCAACAGTTCCTTAAAACAGCATCATTGTCACATTTACGAGCATTCGCTCAATTTCACGTTCAAGGTGATTTCATTATTATACCTCCCAACTTAAATACGCCATAGTAAAAAAATCCCTAACACCTTAGGGAAACAAAAATTTGAACTTTCGACTCGCACGTGATCTGGTCGTGCACCTTGGAATTGCGGTAAATATGTGTGCCACCCTTCGTCAGACTTTTTTTTTAATTGAGACAATTATGGAAAACAATGGCCTTCTGGAGTCAGTCAGTAAGTGTATGTTGTTTTGTTTTCTGCTCTAAAGTTGGTCTGTTTCGATTTAAAATAAAAGTTATCGCTGACATTTGATTCGAACGAAATAAAATGATAGGTGATAGAACTTGTAAACGTGAAAATGGTCATAAACCGTTCTGTTAATTGAGTTCCAACCAAAACGACAAGCTGCTATTTGTTTGGGAATTTCGATAATGGCTTTTTCAGTGGCCAGTTAGGCCTTTGGCTGAAGCTTTATCGGTTTCCCGTTTTCAGGATCTAAATGAGAGAACAGAGGTAGAAGCCAGTAATCGAAAAAAGTGGCCTGCTATGGATGTATTCGTAAAATGCCTTGAATACTTGAAGAAAACTGCAACAAATGCCATCAACGAACGTCATCTGCGTTCGGCAAAGGACAATCCAAACGCGGAACCTAAATACAAGCCCGAACAGATTCAGTGGATAATAACGATTCCAGCAATATGGCGCATCTCCGCTAAAGAATTCATGAGAAAAGCTGCATATAAGGTAACTACTTTAACATCCCCTATAAAAGCAACAATGGTGATAACAGTCATTGCAATTAACAAGGGAAAAATAACTGAGATAAAATTGAAGTAACTGGAAGTTGAAAAGGTCAATGTGTCAACAATTTTGACGGCGATTGTGACATGTTTTCGATGAAATACAGAATTAAACGTAAAGCCTATCAAATTTTTTTTTCTCGCAGCACTGAGCTAGATTTACAGTTGACAATAAATTCGTCTTAGATTTACGGTCTACAATGAATTCGCTTTGTCCAACACATATACATGATGCTAGATTAAATCAAAAAAGGCATACACTTAATTCTTTTAACAGACGTGTAACAGAGGAGTAAAAACAAAAACAAAAAAGCAAAGAAACATACTAACAAACTAAGAAACCAGCTGTTGGATTATTAGCAAAAGAGAAGAACAAAAATATTCACAGCTTTTTATCGTTTTGGTCACAGGCTGGAATTGCAAGCCCCGCGGATCCTGACCAACTCATTCTTGCCCTTGAACCTGAGGCCGCATCTTATTACTGCAGAAAGTTGCCCTTCGAAATGTTTAAGGGAGAGTATGGAAAAGAGGTGGTGAAGGACACGTTGGACGAAGAAGGAATTCCGTACATGGTTGTGGATAATGGAGGTGGGTTGGGACTCCTCTAACATCTTGGGACATATTCAGTAACAGTTAATATCAAATGACCCGTCCGGCCCCGCTCACCGTGAATCCCATAGAAAACCATACTAAAAGTTAACGTGTGCAGGGCCGGAAAAAGCCGTTCGGCCCTTTTTCCCTTGCGTCGTTCTGTTGCAAAAACTTGTAGGAAAACAGAAATGCGAAAAAATAAATCATGTTTTTCAAGGAATTGGAAGTTTCTTGTTCCGGTTGACTTGAAATAATAAAGGAAAAGTTTAATTACAGAATGTTTTTTGTGCCCGTACGGCTGCGTGTACCTGTCTATCGCGTCTTATCTAGGCTGAAAATTTTAACGCTCAGTGGAACTGACCTTGAGCTCAATATTTTCCCATCCGGCCTTCCTACTCAGTCAATAAGTGCATATTACGTCATTAGTGTAAAATAGTACAGACCTGCTGTGATACAGAAACTGAGCCAGCTTTTACAGGAAAAGATCGAATGTAGTCAACTCAAACCCTCATGGAAACCTTTTTTATGCCCTAAACGTTAGGTAACATATGAAGCAACGAAAAGAAGAAAACTTTTTTTCATGCTGAGTTTTCTGCTAACAGGTCTACCACAAGCGGTATTCCGAGCCAGTTAGAATGAAATATGACTTTACTCCACAGGTGGAACTTTGGACATCACTGTACATGAAGTTAATGCTGTTGACGGGCATATTCTAGAAAAACACTGTCCCGCTGGAGGTCTTTACGGTGGCATTCACGTTGACGAAGAATTTGAAAAAATGATGGGTCAGGCATTCGGAGAAGACGTTATCAATAATTTCATAAAACAATTCCCGAGCGACTGGCAAACCTTAATGAACCGCTTTGAAGTGCAAAAGAGGGCGGAAGAAGAGGTTGACAATGACGAAATTAGTATCCCTCTACCTTTAAACTTTATTAACACTTGCAATCATTATATCGGAAAAGACGAAGCCATCAATGAGAGGATTCGGGTGTTTTATTCAAGAGAAGTGAGCGTAAGCAGCGACTATTTGAATATAACCATGAATACGCTGGGCGACCTGCATCGTCCAATTGTGACCAAGATTGCCGATCGCATACAGAGTTTGCTTTCTGAGGATAGTCTTCAAGATGTTAAAACTATGTTTTTCGTCGGTGGCTTTTCTGAAGCTCAGTTTTTGCGAAGAGAAATTTCTCGCCGCTTTCCTGACAAACGCATTCTCATACCACACGATCCCCAACTCGCCATAATTCATGGCGCCGTAGAGTTTGCTCGAGAACCGAGTCTACTTAGAGCAAGGGTAATGGGCAAAACTTACGGTGTTGGTACCTGTTGCACGTTTGATCCTAGGATACACCCAAAAGAGAAAAAGTTAGTTCGGCCATGGAAGGAGTACTGTTGTGACATTTTCGAAACCTTAGTGAAGAAAGGCGAAAGAATAGATCTAGAAGAGACAAGAGCCCACTCATTTTTGCCCATTGATCCTGACTGTACCGAGATTTCTTTCCGGTTTTACAGCACAAATCAAGACGACGCTCAGTTTGTCACCGACCGCGAAGTTGTAAGCGAAAACGTCACTGTTCTAATTCCCAGTCCAGATACCACCAAGGGTTTAAACCGAAGATTAAGGCTGGAAGTAAAATTTGGTGGCACGGAAATTAAAGTTCAGGTCACCGATGTTGAGTCGGGTAATGTCAGAAAGGCTTCTCTTCAGCTCGTTGCCACTTCGGTTCTTCATTCCCGTTTTCATTAACAGAGTGAGTCAGAAACATATAAACTCTAAAGTGAACTCTTTTTCAGGGCTACAGTCAACTCTCTCTAAGACGGACACCATCGGGACCGACCTCAGCTGTCCGTCTTAGAGCGGTGTCCGGCTTATAGAGAGTCGACATAACATGACCCCAGGAAAGAAAGCACGAAAATGACTGTTTTAGATTACAATACCATTCGGTTGTCATCTCCAAGTCATTTTTTCAATGAGACAATGACTGAATTAATTTTAACTTGTACTGTTTGTATTCCGCCGACAAGATAAGAGCTGGCAATTAAACGTCTGGTGTTAAAAGGAGTCACGGGTACTTGGTACTTTAAGAAGTTTTCTTCCCTACATCGTAATTTGCGGTCACATTCAGCACCTTACAAGTGTCCGTTGAAGATTTCAAAGCGTCCGTTGTCCGTCTTATAGAGGTGTCCGTCTTACAGAGATTTGATTGTAGTAAAATAACTAAGAAACGGCCGGGACCCACACCAGCTGTCCGTATTATAGAGGTGTCCGTTAAGAGAGAGTTGACTGTTTTGAAGTTCGATTAAAACTAATTTCAAAATTTGTTTGGTTACTTCCTATGGCGAAACGAGCCATAGAAGGACACAAACGGCATTCCGGTTACTAGACTTTGTCAGTCAGACTTGACTTCTATGTAATATTCGGAAACGTTTAACCTTTTATAGCGAAGTCGATACTGATTTCGGTCATTCACAGTGCTTCAACTATAATGTAAATATTTCTTTTAGAGACAATGGTACCTCTAAGGAGTAAGTGATTTATATTAGTATTATCACAGATTGTTAATTTGGCCCTCCACCGGTAAAGGTCCGGGACGTCTGACCGCTGTTCGTTCACCGTGCATTTTTGAAGCAAGTCATGGACGATCATGTACAGCAAACGCAATTCTTTTCGGTGCTGTCCTCACCCTTACTCTTGCATCAGTTGAGCTGAACATAGTTAAAAATGTCTAGCAAAGGCTGAGTTAGATTCAATCATCACTGCATGAACTTACATCTTGTAATAGGGTAATTTTCCTCCGACGAAGGGCTAACGCTCGAAACGTCAGCTTTTGTGATCGTTACGGTGGCCAATTTACCATTTCAACTTTGTTGATATATCCAAATAATTTTCCTTTAATTTGGTTTAAGTAAGGTCGGGAAAAGTGCTTCTAAGAACGGTAGTGCATTGTTTTATAAAAAGTAATCGTTTTGGTGAACTTGATTTACACCTCAATACTAGGTAAAACAACTTGTACAAATAGATAAATAGGGTATCTTTATAGATGAATTAGATGTGTACTTGAGTCCTAGTGGTTAGTTTGAATCATATTCATTAAGAAAAATGTTTGATACTATTAAACAAGAACTCGAATGTCCTCCATATTTGTGTCAAATGTGAAACAATATCTGGACCATATACTTTCCACGGTTTGGCAAATTCATACCTGTTTGAAAACAAAAATTGCTTGACAGACGGATTTCAATTCGAGATACCTTGGGTTTCACAGAAGTACAAAGGACAAATGTGGCCAATTTTTTTTCTGAACCTGGACAAGCTGGCGGCTCACAGTACCGTTTTCCCGCGCTAAACACCGCTTACCAATTTTGTTTCCTTGCGCTTTTTGTCGGTTGCTTTGGCTCCAACTGAATCATGGGACGATGGATTTAATTGAGCACTGGCTTAAAAAATTTTCATCCAAGGGATATAATAGTCTCCGGCTAATTCAACACAGCTTGAACGAAGGATAAGCGAGTTGAAAACAAATCTCTTTTACTTGACATACTTAGATAATACTTAGTTACGCACTTTAAAATTTAATGTTGACAGTTGTAATTTAAAAAGTACAGCCTATAGATAGAATTTCTTCAACATAATTACATCGGAAGAAAATATGTCTGATGGTATGATACAAGATACAAACACAAATATTTACCACTTAACAACCAAGGTAATGTTTGGGCACCAAAAGATTTTCCTTTTATAGAGGTCCAAACGTCTTCTTCTGGAGTGTGGCATGGAAAACGAGGGACGTGGGAGAAATTGTCCACTTTCGCGCGAGGGGGCCACGACTGAAGACTGGTAACGGTTATGGGGAAGTTTGGAGCGATAAAAGTGGTATGCCAACAAATAAAAAAATTTTCATCATCAAAATTAATAAATATGCGTTCTTATGACATAAAAATGGCAGAAGAAATTCCCATTTTTAAAATTGAGACAGGAAAAGTTGTCGGTCATTACAATGTCACACGATATCGATATGTTACCGACTCCTTTCCGAACGCTCTTGCTATTTTCCTATTGGACAAAACAGCCAAACTCTTCGAGTATTTGTCCCCGGACGGAGCCAGCACTCAAAAGTATAAATAAGTATCATCCCTTGAAAATTAAGTTTTAAAAAATCGAATTTTCTCGAAAAAAAAAAAACAAAAAAACAAAAACAAAAAATATATATCACGCAAACAGTAGCGATCTTTCGATAGTGAAAATCAAAATTGATTTTTTGGGTCATTGGTTCTGTAACTTGATGCATTTGATGGATTTTCGAGTTTCAGCTATCTAGCAGTTGCCAGTTTTGTTGATTTGGACGTCTCTGCGGTGGACTGGATGCTGGAAAGTTTCTTTTGAAGTTCCCCAGGAACATTTGTACATAGGATTGTGGTTAAAAAGATTAAAGATTTCTGACGTCCAAAACGCACAGCTGTTAAGAGAATAGAAAAGAATCACTCAATTTATAGAAATAAAGCGACCAATCCAAGTCAACTCATGATTAATGTTTTTTGGTATATCAACTAAGTTGAAATTGTAAATTGGCCACCGTAAAGAGTTTAAAAGCTGACGTTTTGAGCGTTAGCCCTTTGTCAGAGCGCATTCGCTCTGACAATGTAGCAATCTTTCGAGAGCGAAATCAAAATTGATTTTTTGGGTCATTGGTTCTGTAGATTGACGCATTTGATGGATTTTCGAGTTTCAACTATCTGGTAGTTGCCAGTTTTGTTGCTTTGGACGTCTCTGCGGTAGACTGGATGCTAGAAAGTTTCTTCTTAAGTTCTCCAGGAACATTTGTACATAGGATTGTGGTCAAAAACATCAAAGATTGCGGACGTCTAAAACGCACAGCTGTTAAGAGAATAGAAGAAAATGATAAAATTTATTGCAATAAATCAAAACCAACTCATGGTTAATCTTATCGAACTCCCGCTTCGTGGACATCCAATTTGGCTTTTATCACATCCACTTTGAAATCAGTAGTGAACCTTGCCCTCTGATTGGCTCTCAGCAGTGCGATTTGTTCATAAACCACACTGTATTTTTTTTCTTTAAAGTGCATCTTTTTCCAGTCAATAAGAGAGTAACACTAAAACAAAACTACCAATCAGACTTGAAGACTTGTTTAATGCACCAACCAAACTTCAGGTAACGAAAGACAAAGAAGCCACTCTGACGCGAATTTTGCAACTTTTGACCCTAAATTTTTTTCCTTTTTTTTACCCAGAAAAATGGGTGAATTTAATTAGGCAATTAAGTTTTGCGGTTTCAAAATGGATGTAATAACAGGGGTAATTGAACTTCGTGTTATGCAATTTTGGTTTGAAATCATATTCGTGATATGAAATCGAACTCGGGCTGCGCTCTCGTTCGCGTATGATTTTGGATCTTACAACACTCAACTCAGTCCACTTACCATTACTAATCACCGTATAATTTCAGACCAAAAAGGACTCCAATCCTTTAAATCACTCTTATGTATCGAATGATAACTCACCGTATTGTCTGAAAAGCATGCAGCTACTTTGTCTCCTCTTGGACTCCACTGCACTTCGAATATGCCCCCGTTACCATGGTAACTATGAACTAGAGTGCCAGTCTAAATAAAAATTAGAATAATGTACCAATAAACACATGTTGCCTGTCTATGAATGGCTGACATTAAGCTTAGATTTCAAGACGCGAGCAGGAACGGTAAGTGTTGCGCAATGGACACATAAGAAGCTCCTCAGTTTTTCGTTTATGTAACATAGGGTATGTATCTTTTATCTTATGGTTTATCAAAGACTTCAATTTCAATTTTCCTCGCGTGTCTTACGTGACTCCTTGCGTGTCTCCGCGTTTACGCGTGTGATATAAACTCCCTCATATTCGCGTTTGGGTCGCTTCAAATTTTTCGTTTCAACTGTGATTCCTCTCATCATTTCGGACATCCTGAACCATTTTGTAATTCTCATTACACGGTTGCTTGAAGATAAACCGGGACTGTGAGGAGAAATTACTCATTGACCACCAAAGGGAAAGTGATTAAAAATGTTCTCCACCTGTGTTGACCAGACATTCAGTGCTCTGTCGAAAGACCCTGACGCAATGTATCTGCCATCAGGACTAAACGACAGAGAGTACACTGGTTCTTGATGCTTGGAGAGAGACAGAACACAGGAGCCACGCTCAAGTTCCCATAGTTTGACTGTTGTGTCGTATGAAGCACTGAAACACAATAAAAAAATATCATGGTTCAACCACAGTTAAGAGGGAAGTTTTTGTTTGTAAAACCGAAAGGTAAACGATAGCCTAGACAAAGCTCTATGTACCACTGTTTTACGTCTTACATTATCAAATCATGATTGGTAGTCACAAGATTTAATCACTATGAATCAATTCTTCTCATTGTATGGGAGTTGCCAGGATTTTTCAAGGAGTGAATACGACATTCGCGTCCCACTGGTATCTGGACGCATTCCATGTGATTCATCATCATAAAATATTTCTTTAACACAAAGAAGGGGCGGGGAAGGGGTGGGTGGAAGATGGAACATATGTAAATAGGAATCTTAATTCTACTCCATCCCTTTCCCCACCATACTCTTAAGCTTGCCAAGCTAATGAAAAAACCGTTTTAAAAGAAACTTGTCTTAAGTAGGCTTGGGTTGTTTTTCTGGATCTTTTCATGCAATCTGTTAGGGGCTGATCGCTTAACCCCGTACCTCCAAGGATCTGATTGTTAATTCGCCCCTCTAGCTGCTACACATTTCCTTGTGAGTTAGTTATGAGAATTTGGTGTTACATCAAGACAACAGCTTCTACCTAATAAGTTTGAGTGTTGCCATTACCTCCTTATTGGATCTCGAATGGTTGTTATGGGGAGAAGTTACATCTTAATCACTTCTGGGAGTTGAGGGGTTAATAACAATAAACTGGATTGACACTAAATAATCTTTCAACATAATCTGACTGCACCTGGTTAGCTCAATTGGTTAGAGCGCCGGATTGTGTTGTGCGGGAGGTCGAGGGTTCAAGCCCCAGCTGGACCAATACTCATGGTCTTAAAATAACTGAGGAGAATTTGCTACCTTCCTATAATATCAAGAAATGGATAGATATTCTAGTCTTCTCGGATAAGGATAAATAAAACCGTAGGTCCCGTCTCCTTCAGTTTAGGGTAGGAGACGTTAATTTCCCACGCATGAGATTACTGTGTGGTGGATGCCCTCTCCAGGCCATTCCCGTGGCAAATAAATTAAATTCCTAAATTTCTACCTGTTACAGTACAAAAAAAAAAATTAAGAAAAAAGGTTACATTTACATATTTTCTATTGTACCTTGCTAAGAGAAGAGGTGCATTAGGAAACGCTGTTGATGGTCCCGTTGGACTCCATGTTACTGTATATATCTCTCTTTTATGACCTTGGAGATCAAACATCCAGGTATCTTGTTTTGTGCTCCATATCTAAACAAACGATAGATGTTACCCCTTAACACCCTGACATCAGTATGCAGATTCTCCATAACTGTTCTCCATACATTTCCAAGGGTGCTGGCAAGGAGAATTTGTTTAACAATCAAGAGCTTCCTAAGTTGATGATTATTTCCTTTATTCTCGTGACCTTAATGTGCCGAATGATGTGTGAGAATTGAGATGCTAGCACTCTGAGNCCAAATTATTTCGTTACTCCCACCAACGCAGCCCCAAACAGTTTCTGTATTCTGTAGCTTTACCAATTTTGTCAGTACAAATTTAAACACTAGGGGTCAAAAGACTAATTCTTGAGGTTGGCATCCTTTACCAGTGCTGGATGGTAAGAAGGGTTCAAATTTGATTCTTGATGACAGTCTGAGGCTTAAAATGATTGCTAACATCAACATTCACATTCTCCACACTGTTCTCTTTACATTTCCTATGGTAATGACAAGGAGAATTTGTTGGATGATCAGGAACTTCTGAAATTGGTGATTAATTCCTTTATTCTCCAGTCCTTTACATTTTATTTAAGGGTAAAACTGTAAGGAGATATTAGAAGCCAGTCACTCTTAGGATTTTAAATCACTAACCTTTGCTGATAGATCATCTGAACAAGATGCTAATAAAGACCCTGATGGATCCCATTTTATTGCATTCACTTCACTCTGTTTAGAAATGAAAATCAATACATTCAAGAATAGCAGTTGAGTATTGGATACAAGAACGTAATTTTGATGAAGTTTTTTAGTGTAGGTGATTTTTATAATAACAGCACAAGGAAACTTACAGTGTGTCCTTGAAATGATTTCACAGGTTTTTCAACTCCTATTCTACAGACGTGTATGATTTTATCAGTTGAACAAGATGCAAAACTTGTGTTTTTTTGCCAGTCGACGTCCAGTGTGGGAGCTTAAAAAAAGAGCAAACAAAATTCATTTGTATTACATAAAAAACAAGCTGTGCATACAGACAAAAATAAAAAGGGAAGAGATGTTGAAAAAACTGTAACATTTTGTTGCCAACAGTTAAGCTTACAAGTTTAAAACATAAATTCATCCTCTCTACCTTGATGGAAAGAAAACTGCTGTTTAACTTCCCAGTTATTTGAGTCCCAGACAATGGTACTCTGGAAATGAAACCACATCTTCAGTAATACATTACGATTATTCTATCAAGAGTTTTCTGTTGAACCTAAAATTATTTTCTGATGTGTTCCTAGCTTGGAATCTTACCTTATCTACCCCAGCACTGAGTAAATAGTTTCCTTTCTTGTTCCATTTAATGCAGAATATTGGTCCTTTAAAATCACTTAGTGTTTTAACCAATTCTCCTGTAAAGAGAAGACAAGCAGAAGGAAATTACCAAATCTGCATAATTACAGTACACAAAATTAACCCCTTAATTCCTTTGATTTACCAAGACAGAATTTCAAAACAACACCAAGCAGAAAAGTGATGAGAACAACATAAAATGTAAAGAAGGGGATTATTACTTAGTTCAATTTACCAAATTCTCCCAACAAACATTATAAGAATTGTGTGACAGACAGTAATGAGAATTACTAATGAGATTTGGGAGTGAATGGCTGGACAAATTGGCAAGTGTATTAAGTAAATCACCCCGGTGCTGCTATCATTAACCTCTATCATTAACCTCTATCATGCCCTGAAGTGATTGAAAAATAGATTCTCCTTAAAAAGTTGATACAATATAAAGGAAGGAGGTTATGAGAGAAGGGAAAAATATCAACAAAGGGTTATTGCTTAATTCATCACCTAATTCTTAAAGTTAAACTGTAAGAAACAAATGGCTGACAGTAAAGAAAATTGATTTTGGGATTTTGGGAGAGGAGGCATTAAAATAATAATCTTTGAGGACAACAATCATATCATTAGATGGTGTTACCTTCTGGAGACCAAATCCTTGCTTGTCCATCATATGAACCTGTGGCTAGCAGAGTTCCATCATTCTGTACGAAAAGTGTAAAGTAACAATCATTCCTTGTTTTAAAAAGGGGTTATCTTACTTGCAAGTTAACAGGTTACTGCAGTTTTGTGTTCTACATGTAACTGATGAAATGTAGGTTTTGGTGGGTCAGTCACAAACTAGGAAGCAAAACATGGACAAAAATGATTCCACAACTTACATTCCATTCCAGAGAGGTTATATCCTTAGTTGCACTTTTATGGTTTTCTAAATCTTTGAATTGGTGTCGTAAAATGACAGGTGTTGCCACTCCCGTCTCATTCATTGGCCACAGTCTTGCTGTACCATCTCCAGACCTTGCAGTGTGAAAAGTGCATTTGTAATTTTAAGAAAAAACCAATTTGTTAAACAACCAATAAAATTGCCACATAAATTCTAATAAAAGGGCTAAGGTTGTTTTTCCTAAGAGGAGAACTGGAAAAATATTTAAGATCAAATCTTAAAAAAGAATTAAGACTCTTACACCTTCAGAAAAAACCAATGTTGTTTATTGGAACAACAATTTGCCACCAAAATTAACCCCCCAAGACATATAAAATATCCATAAATATCTAAAACTGCCTCCCCCTTGGAGAAAATCTGACTCTAGCTCATGTCCTTTTTACAGCTAAAAAATCATTTTGAACTCTAGGGATATAGTTGAGGTTAAAAAAGTTAACTACCCGATAATAAGCAGTATAAAAGAATCCAAAATTGTTCCTATTATTAAAAATTCTACACCATGACTTTGAACTACTTAAAAAAATTTTCAACATTTTATGGTATTCAGTTCATATTTTGCTGATTTCCACCTACCCAGATGCAAGTATATCCTGAGTGGGATTCCATGAGCACACAAACACCTACAGGAGTTGTTCAGAAAAGTTAAACAAAAGACCTTTTTAATTTGAAAACAATGAAAAATAGAAGTACCGTTCTGGTTTTGGCGCCTGGAGTAATCAAAGAGAGCCAGCAGAGTCAGGTAGTCAAGATATGGAAGTATTAAAAAGACTAAGGTAAATTGCAATACAGCAAGACTGCACAAACTCACAAACAGAAAATAATAAGAAGAAAATAAACAAAAAGATCTGATGGAAGTCCTGTGTTTTTCAACCCCTTTTACAGATGATTTGCTGAGTATATTTTAACAAGTTTAACTGCAAATACAGGCAGACCTACCTAACAATATTTAAGAATATTTATTATTTCTAGCGTGCCCTTCTTATACAATATTCAAAAGTATGTCACAAGAATATTTAACTTAAAGGAGCACTCTGATGAAACCACCCTATAATTTGAAAACCTGAAAAATTCAGTTATTTCATTATAATATGAATTTTTACAAATTAATAGAGCCTTTTCAATAATAATTTCAGTTGAAAGTCAATTCTAGGGTGAGAAATTACGATTTGAAAACCGTTCCGCCATTAATTTTCGTAATCACCGCCAGCTTATCTTTGGTTAGCGGTCACTCCCATTGTGACGTAGATTACTCAACACACTTTTATATTCATATGGAAACCTCGTGACATTTAGTGAAATAGTCTAAGTCTTATTGTTATAAAAAGCAATATATATATGACCAAAATACTGTTTTTGAAAATTAGCCATGAGCACGGCACGTCAAATGAGTAATCTCCAAACTCATGCCAGTCTTCTTGAGTCTGGCAAGTGATTATGAAAATTAATGGTGGAACAGTTTTCAAATCGTAATTTCTTGCCTTAGAATTGACTTTGAACTAAAATTATTATTGAAAAGGCATTATTAATCGCTAAAAATTCAAATTATAATGAAATAACTGAGTTTTTCGGGTTTTCAAATTATAGGGCGGTTTCATCAGAGTGCTCCTTTAATAACTTAACTTACACCTCTATTATAAATCTTACAAATCTTTCAATAAAGCTTACAAACTATTTACATTTAAAAATCTAACATAGAATAATAACAACTGTAGAAGAACTTCTAAAATACTAATGGGTAAAAGAAAATTACTAAGACAAGTAAAATGATTCCAAGGTATAAAAATGTTTTAATCATAGTCTCAAAAGATTCTAAGTTCCTTGTGTTTCTTCTTACCTCATGTTCGTGGCCTTTCAAGATCAATGCTTTGTTGCTCCCTGTATCATTAACTGTGCCATCGACGTCCATGATCTCACCGTGTCCCACAGAATTGACATGAGAATAATGTCCATCCTCATATTTTATACCAATCTCTGGTTTTATTGTTCGGTTATGTAATAATGTATGTCTTGTGGCTACTATGTCTGGTAAAACCGCATCAATAAGGGAGACATGATCTAGTTCACTTCCATCATCAAGTATTGTCCCATCCTGTGATAGGAGAAGTAGTTATAATAAAATCAAGAAAAATAAGAACTAGTCTCATCAACTAAAGCTGCATCAAACCTATCCAACAGATATAATCTGTTGGCAGACATTTCATTCTGCAGGAAGAGAAAAGCTCTTTACTTTAAACCCATCCTGAGCCAACAAATCTCTTGAACAGACACTTTTTTTCTGGTCCTATGGGTTTGACCAAAGTGTTAAGTATTTTCCTTTGGGAAAATCAAACTATAAGAGAAAGAAACATAAGTCCTCTCAGTGTAGGCCAACAAAGAGTATGTCCTCAAAGCAAAACCCCCTAAAGTTTGTTTTTTTTTGGTGTCTATGTTGTAGCTCAATTTTATACTTGGTTCAAATTTTATTTTCCTTTGTTTTAGGTCATGCTAATCTATGATAATGAGTTTGAAACAAAGGAAAATAAAATTTGAACCAAGGATAAAATTGAACTACAACATATACAATGTGGCAAGTGGTGTCCAGCACTATAGAGGTCGGCTGCAGAGTCCCGCCCAAAATTTTCAAAGAAAAAACATCAAATAAAGCTCTTAGTTGGAAGGATTTTGTCTACAATTTCAATCAGCAAAATGGACAAACAACATTGAAAAACTATCTCAGAAGAACTCTATCACAACTTTGCTTTGTTAGGCTCACCTCATTTAGCGTCACCTCAGCTTCCACATACTGTACACCTTTCTGGATAATTGATACAAGGGCACCAGGTGGGACAATGGATCCATTGATATTTGATTGGTCTACATGGCTTTCCACTCCAAAAGTAAAAGCAGAATGCTGAAATCCTAATTTTGAAACAAAGAGTACATACTAAATCTATGGTTAAAAAAGGTAAAGTTGGCACTCCAGCTAGGTGGCCCACACTGCCACACCCTTTCTGTAACACAACTTTTCTTATTGCCTTGCTTTTTCCTGCTCCCCTCCAGCATTTTATCAGGTTTTACTAAGGATTTGCTGGTGCCCATTCATACTCCTGGGTAGAAAAGGACCCTAAAAAGAGTAAGATGCCTCGCTCCAGAAGCATGACACAATGACCTGGTCAGATATTCAACTCACACCTCTGAGCTGCGAATCTCGTGTGCTAACAGTTATCAATAATATCTATAACCACAGCTATGTTTGCATGCTTGGTAAGCTAAAATAAGACTGAGAAATGATTTCTATGGCAGGCATTTTAACTAATAGGTCCCTGTATCAAATGTTGATAATATAGTTTAATCATATGAAGGAGAGTTGTCCTGAAAAGAACTGTTGTTGGTTGTGGCAACTGACATTTTTGTTTCTTTTTTTTTTTTTTTTACATTTAATTACTTCACATTACTTACAAAACTTACTATAATTGTCTAACAGTCCTTACAATACTAACATTACTTTTATTTTTACAATCTTGTATGTAAGGTAAGGTAAGGTGATCTTTATTTTACCAGGGTGGTTTAATCAGCCATAAGGCTGGCATATATGTGTTACACTTACTATAATGCTGATAATTACAATACTTACTAAAACTAACAGTGTATGAAAGACATTTGTTTCTGCACTTTAAATGTCTTGCAACTTTTGCTCAACACCAATAAAATTACTTAAAACAGCAAAAAATCACAATAATAAGTAAATAAACTAAAAAAATGAATACAAAAGGTTCAGCTGGATACAGCCATGACTATAACCCTTACTTGATGGCTCAGATTGGCTATTCATCCATAATAGATACAATTTTTGACTTGTAGAATTCATGATCACAAATCAAACATTTCAAATAAAGTTATGTGCAAAATGCGTAGGATACTTTAAAATGCAGAAATAAACAGAAAATGGTACCACTAATATTGAGTGACGTCTTAACTCATTTTCATAATTCGTAATATTAAGCTCAATCTCATGCAACAATTACTTTAACGCATCGGGATTAATTACAATTTTTTCGGGATACTAACTTTTCTTACACTGTTTTAATGTTTCAGATTAATCAAGAGGTAATTTTCGATCGAAAACATGGTGGCAATAAAGCTACCGACCAATAGAAACTCTATCAGTTTTCGATTTAATCGCATCGTTTGAATTATGCACCTGGTCTCCAACAAAGGAAATATTGTTAGAAGTGGTCAAAGGGTGTCCGCTCAGTCTAAACACCGGTAGAATCCAATAGATGAATACTTTCCATATGATTTTCATAAACTTGGGCGTGGGGAGCAATAATCAGAATAAATTTGTTCACAACGTGGGCTTGGAATAACTCTCGATGTATCAAAAACAAAATATTTTCAACCAGTAACGGCAAAATCGCCGTACAATTTTACGAAAATTTGTGTTATCATGCGGATGACAGATTGATACCAGGAAAAACAAACTCACCTGATTCTTGAAGATATCTGTAAACTAGAAAGTTGACCTCATCGCTGCTCATAGACATGATAAATAACACATAATCTAAACGATGATTGTTAAGATTATGTTTGACTTTGTTCAGACATTGATCTTCGGCACGCGGGAGATTCAATCTAATTGCGGTTAGATCTCCAACCAATGCAAAAATGAAATGATCAAGAGGTCTACAAATACTCAAAAATTAAAATTTTATGAATGATTCCCACAATTAAATCGTCGTAAGCGTCCTACACAGAAAAAACTGGAAGAAAATTGCAGGACAACTTCCAGTTATGACTACTACTAGTCCGCCATGTTTGTTAAGCGCGAAATATCACGTGATCAAATGACTTTAGACTAACATGACGTCACTTTGTGAAGACGCTCACTTTCACGAAAAAGAAAATTTAAAACTCACAGTTTGTGCTTTTTTACTTTTATACGGGACGAGAGTGCAAACCACCCATTTTAAATTTTATTTTGTTTTAAGGGCAGACACTTACAAAATCAGAAAGATAGAAAAAGGTCGCGAGGAGCTTGGGCACGAAAAGCTTTCTATAGCCTCGCTTTGACGGTGAAGTTCGTCCTCTTTGCCATCTGTGGCCATATTGGTAAGAATTATTTGTAACCTGTGTGGAAATCGTTTCTACAGAAGCCCTTAAAATTGCCATCAGTTGTCCAATACACCTTGAATGAAAAGGATGATACCGTCCCTATCAAAATCCGGGGTTATTTGTGAGTTAATGTATATCTTTGGAGCAGTGCAGCTCTGACAAAATGACCGTTGCTTTGGAAGAACGATACTTAGCAATGAATCGTATAGTGGAAGTAGCATTAAACCCGAAAATCTTTGTGAGCAAAGTTGCGTTGTGTTTCATTGTAAACTGTCCCTGTGCAATTAACTTTCACTGGCATCATCTTGATTTTGGTGGGTTCCATTTTTACCACTTATCACCTCAAAAACATCAATACACATTTCTTTCGCGTTTCTTCAAAATTAGACTTTTGCCCTAAATGATAATTACTTCGGAAACATATGTCGGTACAGATTTATTTCCATTGGGACATAGGTATATGGATGTCAAAACAAAGTGTTAAAAGACCTAGACACATGTGAACAGACTACGTTCTACTTGGTTTCTTTCAGTGTTTTTGGATTATATATACATACCCTTTATCCAATCATTAAAACAAAGCTTACTAGAAGTTGCATGAATTCAAATTTATATATCTTAGTTATGTTTATTAACATGACATGAATTCACTTTGTCTATTGCCAGTAGAAGAAAACAGACACCAAGTGAACTTAAGATCCTTAAGATATTCCTTAACACTTACCTGTTACCCAAGATTATTAAAAGTGGAAGCTGTTCTCTTCTTTTTTTTGGTTCATTAACCAAATTTCTTAAAGATGAGCCTCTTTTAATAAATATTGTGATTTAATTATAGTAAATACAGTATGGGTCGAGTGATCAGAGGCCAGCGTAAGGGTGCTGGGAGTATTTTCAAGTCTCATACCAAACACAGGAAAGGAGCTGCCAAGCTCAGACCCCTTGACTACTCTGAACGTAATGGTTACCTCAAGGGTGTCGTGAAGGAGATTATGCATGACCCAGGACGTGGTGCGCCGTTGGCTATCGTCAGTTTCAGAGATCCATACCGATACAAACAAAGGAAAGAGATTTTCATTGCTACTGAAGGCATGTACACAGGACAGTTTGTCTACTGTGGAAAGAAGGGTAAGAATTATGTTGCCATGATTCTTGCATGATTATGTTCATTTGTATTCGTTAGGCCATTTCTGAATTACCTTTGCCCTCTTTTTCGAAATTAGGCCTGTTGCTCAACCTTTCTTGTTACAATGAGTATCATTTGCTTGTGAATGAAAACTTATTTTCATATGAAAGGATGAGTGCCAGGACTAGCCTCGAGGGTAAAGGAAATTCGGCAATGGGCTATTCTGTTAAGATATGTAACATGCTGGGAACAGATTCCATTCTTGACATGAAAAAGCCCCCTCTACTTTAGATTTTGTCACTAAATCGAAGGCAGTGTGCATTCAGTGTGATTCTTCACACAATCAGGGTTTTATTTGTTAAAGATGAAACAATTTAGATGCAGTTATGGATCTTAGAGCCCCATGGTTGTAAAATGTCTGCAGGGCACTTGTGTCAGGTGCATTTGCAAATAAAGATTTCGCTTTTGCTGCTAAAGTTTCTCAATTAGTAGAGATTTTGCAACTGTTTTACAGCCCAGCTTATAAATAAATTATATTTAACAGCCTTGTGTCTTACTTGTTACTGGTTGCTGTAGTTTTATCTGAAAAATCATGCAAAATTGATTTCTTGCAGAGAAACGTATCGCAGGGGCACTTTTTCAGGAACTATGTAGTGTAACACTCATGAAATTTCTTTTGTGACTAAAATTTTCAAACTTGCGACAAAATTTTAGGAATTCTCACAAATTGTGATCAAGAATTATTTTCAATTTCAAGACCTGGTCTGGTTTAACCTTTTAACGCCCAAGAACAACAACCATCTAATTTATCCTCACAGTATCACCCCTGAATGACATACATCACAAGAATGAAAGAAGTTGGAAAGTGTGGGAAGCTCATGATTGTTAATCAGATTCTCCTTGTTAGCACCTTAAAAAAAAAAATGTATGGGGAATAGTAAGGAGATTATTGGTACTCATGTGAGGATGTAAAGTGTTAATGAAAACCAAGTCATCTTCAGGTAGAAAGGACAAAAATATTATGTGATGGTAGCAAAGTACAAGTTGAGAGACACTCATTGATTTACATTTTTAATGTTTGGTGTTTTTTCAGCTACTCTTCAAATAGGCAACTGCCTTCCCATCGGTGCTATGCCGGAGGGAACTATTGTCTGTAATGTGGAGGAGAAATCGGGAGATCGTGGCAAGCTAGCCCGTACATCGGGAAACTATGCTACTGTTGTATCACACAACCAAGAAACCAGGCGAACCAGAGTGAAGCTTCCCTCTGGAATCAAGAAAGTGTACCCTTCTGCTAACCGTGCCATGGTGGGTATTGTTGCTGGTGGTGGTCGTATTGACAAACCTATGCTGAAGGCAGGACGTGCTTACCATAAGTACAAGGCCAAGAGGAACTGCTGGCCACGTGTCCGGGGTGTGGCCATGAATGTGAGTATATGCTCTGTTTTTTAGTTAACACTTTTTTTTAAAAAAAATTAATAGGCCCAGGGCCACAGGAGAGTCCATGTACTGTAGACTTCCAACTTTTGGCAGTGGTTTGTAGCTCTTAGTTGGCTTGGGATAACATGACTTTTATGAAAATTATGAGCTAGGCACTCAGCATGCTTAGATAAGAACCTTAATACTTTAACCCCTAAGAGTGACTGGCATCTTATTTTTCTCCTTGCAGTTTTATTTACTTCTGTTATTTACCTCTGTTATTTACTTCTGATATTTACCTCTGTTATTTACTTCTGTTATTTACTTCTGTTATTTACTTCGTTATTTAATTCACAGCCCGTAGAACATCCTCATGGTGGTGGTAACCATCAACATATTGGTACTCCCTCTACTGTCCGCCGAGACACATCAGCTGGAAGAAAAGTTGGTCTTATTGCTGCCCGTCGCACTGGTCGAATCAGGGGAGGAAAGAAAACTTTCAAGGGAGACAAAGAAACAGACTAAATTGTATCTCTCTCAGTTGCCCAATAAAATTTACTGTAAATTTGATTTTGTGTGTTGTCTCTTTGTTAAAATTAACTTTTTGTCATTCTTGTCACCTTACTCCATACAAAATAAATGAAGGGAATTAAGGTTATTATGTAAATCGGCCTCTGTAATGAATTTCTAAAGCTGAAGTTTAAAGCCTTGTGTCAAAGCAAATAGAGGGAATTTTGGTTGTGTGTGGTTTATATGCTGAGAGATGAAGCTATGCTATTGGTGATAAGTTGGTAATGAAAAAACATGCAAAGTAGTTGAGTGAAAAGCTCTCAGAGAGATTAGATCTGCCGATTTAAACATCTGTCGCACAGAATGATTACGGAGTGTCTGGTGACTGGTTTGGGTTCTTCTTTATCATTCCTTTGTCATAAAGGTGTTCTCAGGATCAGTCACCTAGTTGCAATAACTGATAAATGACAACATTGGCCGTAGCCCTTCAGTTGTTTCAAAGTGCGTGACCGAGATAGATATTTGTAGACAAATCTTACATGGGCTTCTGATCGCACCACTTTTTAGTCTGGTGACGTGCGGTAGTCTTGGAACGAGAAGTGAAGATAAGGCGACCAGTCCCCAGGTCCTTTATGAAGTTCCCGATCAATATGGCGGTTGGAGTGGAAGCTCTTGCCTGCATCTCATGCGGAGACTGTACGAGTACATTGGTGAAGATCTGCCGATGAAATGTCACGTAATCAAAGGTTACCCTGTCAAAAAGAGGCTTGTACCATCCAGAAGTGTTTGCAAGGTAATTTCGTGTAATTACGAGGCGCCTAATTATTCCTCAGGCTACTATAAACACATAAGCTCTGTGATTCGAGGAGGTCCAAGTTATTTCATAACTACTGAAGTGTTACGAGCTCATGAGATTGCTTTAGCCACGAAAATTTTTCTTTTTTTTTTTCCCTTTAACAGAACTATCAATGCCGACTATGAACATTTCTTCTCGACTTCATACAGTACAACCGGTTCTAAACCCGGAGTGACATTTAAACGTGTTGTCTGATGGTCTAAATTGAGAGTAATCCTGAGAAAGGAAAGACTGTTGTTGGTAAAAGTGATTTTGATGATGACGTCCGCCAAGGATGACGACGTTTCTGTCACTTCTACTGATAACAGTCCTTCCCAGGGCTACTCTCCTCCAAGCGATCGGATGGCATGATCAAATCTACTCGGATGATTTGAATTGATGGGCTGTATAGGTTGGATGTGGGGGAAGGTGGCAATAGGTGGGTGGGGTGGTTAGGGTTAGGTGTAGGTGGAAGGATGGAGACAGTAGTACAGACTTCAGGAAATTAAATTCCTTTATCAAAATTAAACCATGCCTAAAATATGATAGTAATCAGTTTGATTATAATTATTATTTCATATCTTCTTTAATTTCCATCAAGAATATAACTATCAAGAGGACAGATGCCAACATGTGATTGACAACATGAAGAAATGCTGCCAAAAGATTTCAGCTGTAAACACTGAATTGTGCTTAGGCTTCAAACAGGAACTTGAGCAGCAAAAATCTATGAACAAAGAGAAATAGCGAAGGAATTCACTGGAATCCTGTGTGCAAGCAAGATGTCTGCACACATTGAAAAAAGTTAAAGCTTTTTTGCCACTTTGCTGGAGAAAACTTTGAAAAGGAGGAGAATTAGGGTAATTACTCAGGAGGCCTAAAGAGGAAATGAATAATTTATTCTGTGGACCAAGATCTCAGAGGCAGAAATGAGAAGCTCAGAGACAAGGATTACACAACTGGCATGAGTAGGATATAGTGGGTATTATAGGACATAGCCAATCAGAGAAGAGTATTTGTTACTACATGGTACAAAATACGCTTCTCTGATTGGCTGTGTCCTATGATGTCCCTGTATACCACTAGCATGAAATATTATTATAATACGCCCAGGATAACACACCAGTTCATTGATTTTTCTTCCAGTGGCTTGCAAAGTAATAAAGTTAGCTTTTAAATCAGTATCATGTGTTCTATTTTGCTTGAAAGAAGCATTAAGAGTGTTGAGTATGCTTGTCAAGAACTCACGGCAATAAAAAAGATGAACTCCAATTTTTTATCTCTGCACCGTCAGTCATTCAAGAAAATCAGATGATTAGAGTCGAATGACAGAAGATTTTGAATTCTGTATGTGCATATTGAGGCAGACTTGAAGACAGAAACTTTATTGAATAATTCAGACAGTTCGTAATATAATAAAATAAAAGGTCTACATGCACAAGTCTTAAAATCCTTTACTGTTCCTTACCCCTTTGTCACCTGAACATCAGTTCCCAAGTTCTCCACAATGTTTTCTATAAGTTTTCTATGGCACTTAAAGGAGAATTTGCTTCATAATTGAGAGCTTCTTGACATTGCAATCTTTTTTCTTTATTCTCATGACCTTAATGTTTGATTCAGGGGTTATATTGTTGGGAGAAATAAGATGCTGATCATTCCCTGGGGTTAATGTTTGATTCAGGG